CACTTCAGACTCCCCACAATCACACTGGCGCAGCCTGGTCTTCCAGCCTCACCTGTCTTCTCTCCTGCCTCGCACCTGTCCCACCCACTCCTTTTTTTTTTTTTTTGAGACAGAGTCTCACTCTGTTGCCCAGGCTAGAGTGCCATGGTGTCAGCCTAGCTCACAGCAACCTCAAACTCCTGGGCTCAAGCGATCCTCCTGCCTCAGCCTCCCGAGTAGCTGGGACTACAGGCACGCGCCACCATGCCCGGCTAATTTTTTCTCTATATGTATTTTTAGTTGTCCAGCTAATTTCTTTCTATTTTTAGTAGAGATGGGGTCTCGCTCTTGCTCAGGCTGGTCTCAAACTCCTGACCTTGAGCGATCCACCCACCTCGGCCTCTCAGAGTGCTAGGATTACAGGCAGGAGCCACTGTGCCCGGCCTGTCCCACCACTCTTCACCGAGCCTCGCTCCTTCCTGTGTCTGTGCCTCTCACGCTGAACTTGAAATTGCATCCCCACCCTCGGCTCCTTACTGCCAGCTGTCCTTTAAGGTTCAAATGGCACTGCTTTCAGGAGGCACTGGCCGATGCCTCCAGTTGGGAGTGGATTTCCATATTTCCATAGTTCTTAACTCTTTGATGGTTGACATTCTCCCTGTGTGGTCATTATTTGTATAGTTGGTGAATATATCCATACATCTTTTTTTTTACATTGTAAATTCCTTGAAGGCAGGTTTTACATCTCACCCTCAATTGTATCTATACACTCAGTGCTCATGGTGGATGCTCAATAGGTAGTGGTTTACTCACTCAGCAACACGTGTGGATTTTGAATGGATAAATCAATGAATAGATCTGAAGTTGGGAATGGAAGAAAGGAAACTGGGTTCTTTGTCATTATAATAAAGGCAGCAAGTAGCACAACTGGGGACAACTCAAGAAGCATTATAGACAGGAAGAGCAGGTGGAGACCTGAAGCCGGCAGGTGAAGGGCAGGAACTGGTACACTCTCAGCTGCATCCTTCCAAAAGCCGACCTGCTGCACGAACAGTGACATAGGCTGTTGCCATAATTGTTTACAGGGAAGCCTTATGATCCAGAAGCACATGCAGAAATATGGCCTTCTAGTCTTAGAACAGTAGTAGCAAACTGTAACAAATAATTATTGTATTATTTTTATTTTAATATGTAGTTATGTCCAACAAAAGAGCTGAATCAACAATTGTAGATACTGGAATTATCTCACTAAATATAAAATTATTTTCTCTCACCTCCTTCTCAGGGAACTCCACTTCTCATTGCCTGTTAGGAATGGAGGGCAAATGTGTCCCAAAGCTTTAGAATCCCTGGATGAAAACATAAGCACATCATAACACTGCCATGTGATGCTGTTCTATGAGAGTCACAGAATAGGTAGAAATCCACCTACAGGGTGTACAGCCCTTTAAACCAAACACACAAAGAAAATCTGCATTAACAAAGATGAATGAGGTAGTGAACCATCACTGACAAAGGCACTCAACCTGGCCACCAAAAACTGGATTTACAAATCACTTTTCAGAAACGCATCAGCCACATAAAGCAGAAGCCACCTGTCCTCACATTGCTCACGAATGATGGTGCGTCCAGTCACTTGGTGCCCATGTGAGCCACACATGAACAGACGTCCTTTCTCCCCAACCCAGTGAAAAGTCAGTGGATAACTTTGGAAGTATGACTATTTTCCCGGTTGCCTTTTAAGGAACTTTTATTTCTAGTCAATCAAAAACTGATTAATGTGACTCATTAACGTAGCCCCGAATGCAGTGAGGAAGAGAGAAACACCTTTCCGGTGTCTTAGTCACTTCTATTTCCTAAAGCTGACTCTTTGCTTCGTTTTGGCAAGAATTTTGTTGTTTTCTGGTTAATTTAAAACATTTAAAAGACAACTCCCTTAGTACCAGGCATATGGTAGAAACTTAAAACATGAATGTTGAACGAACGTAAGGTTTCTTTCACTCCATGTACCAATGTAAGTACCAATTAAGTCTTATTCACGGTTTTGCCAAGGACAATAAACTATGAACCTTGAGTAACTGGAATGTGAGTACTTGAATTCTTTTAATTTTCTTCTCCCTTAAAGTGTCTAGTATAGTATTCTGCGAACAGTACTCAGACATCCACATGCGAATATGCTGGAACATGCACACACACACAGGCTTATAGCTATTCAGTTAGCTTAGTGGATTCTCGATCAATTAACTTTGGGGTTTATCTATCATGGGTCTGCAGTCTCCATTGTACCTGGAGAATACCAATCTGATTGTAGGAAGCCAAGGGGAGGATTCTGATGGCTGCTTGGAATGTTTGGTTTTATATAGCAGTTACAGCTGAATAATTGATTGGTCTATTGTTGCCAAGTCCGCTAGACAGATTTCTATTTAAAATCATCAATAAGTTATTCCAACGCCATAGTGCTGTCGACTGAAAACATCCCCACTGCTCAGATGGTTTTGGTTTTTATTTAAGTTGTCACTTGCCCTCAGCTTGATCTTTTTTTTTTTTTTTTTTTTTTGAGACAAGAGTCTCACTATGTTGCCCGGGCTAGAGTGGCATCATCCTAGCTCACAGCAACCTCAAACTCCTGGGCTCAAGCGATCCTCCTGCCTCAGCCTCCCAAGTAGCTGGGACTACAGGCATGCGCCACCATGCCCGGCTAATTTTTTCTATATATTTTTAGCTGTCCAATTAATTTCTTTCTATTTTTGGTAGAGACGGGGTCTCGCTCTTGCTCAGGCTGATCTCGAACTCCTGAGCTCAGAACGATCCGCCTGCCTCGGCCTCCCAGAGTGCTAGGATTACAGGCGTGAGCCACCGCGCCCGGCCCCACAGCCTTCTGAAGACTCTTTCCCAGAACAGTCTCGATCCCTCCCGCCACCTGTGTGATCTCCATTCAACTTTCACCTATTCGCTTCCACGTCACTTTCTTAGCAGGACTTTCCCTAACAGCCCTCCCCAAGACTATGTCTGCTCTTATGCTCACTCATGGTATCCAATACTCATTCTTTATAATAGTTATTGCATCTTTAATTATATATTTGCACATAACTGTTTGTTATGGACTGAATTGCGTCCCTCCAAAATTCACATGTGAAGCTCTAACACCCAGTACTTCAGAAGGTGACTGTATTTGGAGATAGGGCCTTCAAAGAAGTAATTAAGTTAAGTTAAAACGAGGCCTTTGGGGTGGGCCCTAATCCAATCTGATTGGTGTCCTTATTAGAAGAGGAGATTAGGACAGAGAGAGAGAGACACCAAGAATGTGCATGCACAAAGAAAGGCCATATAAGGGCCCAGGACAGCAAGAAGGTGGCATTTTCAAGCCAAGGAGAGGGGCTTTAGGAGAAATCAGACCTGTTGATGCCTTGATCTTGGACTTCCAGCCTCCAGACCTGTGACACAATGAATTTCTGTTGTTTAAGCCATCCAGTCTATGGTATTTTGCTATGGCAGCCCTAGCCAACTAACACACTGTTTAAGGCCTGTCTTCCTCCACTGGACTGTGAACTCTGTAAGGATAGGGAATACGTCTACATTTCACCACTGAACTCTCAGCACATAGTTCAATGTCTACCTCCAAGCAGGAGCCAATATATTTCTGTTTAATTCATGAATGAATGAATGGCACAGGGATATGTCAATTTTATGCTGAAAGCTCTGTATCTTCTGTGTTCTTCAATGTTCTCCTATGTCATTGACCACAGGCATGTTGAGCAAGTACTTATTTCTGGAAGGCAAGAACATCCTAGAAAGCAAGTGTCAAATGCTAGATCACTGAAAGCATTCTAAAACATGTTATTCTGGCACAGAATATGAGCAGTTTAGGGGCAAGAGCCCCGCAGACGGATCTCAGCAGTCTGCCATCCCTCCATGGGGTGTGAGTGTCCACAGGAGCAGGGTGCAGACACGCATTAGCGCTGCGCATGCACAGCTCCTTCCAGGATCCGAGGATGACACCTCAGACCTGGGAAAGGGTCCCGGGAATGCGCTATGGGCCCAAAGGAGCACCTGCACCAGTTCCAGCTTCAGACTCCCATTTTACCAACACCAAAAATATGAAGGTAGTCTTTGGGGGTCCTGGAAAACCAGACGCTGTCAGGTATTCATGAAAACTACCTAGATTGGTGCAAATTGACCGTGTAGGAAAACGTAAAGTCCCCCTGGGATGTACTTGGAATTACAGGGCATCTGGGAGCCCATGTATGTCCTTAGGTGCATGGTGACTTATGTGGTCGCATGCTTTGAAGGACAAAAAGGTCCTTACCCCTCCCCAACAGCATCCCTCTCCATTATTAGGTGGGTAAATGCCTAAAATCCCATCACTAACATGTCACTCTTTTAGGTCGGCATCACTATATCCGGTTACCTCTTTTTAAAAATGAATCCCTACTCTACCAATCGCTCAGCATTTTCAGTCATTAACAACACATTATGAATTAATTAAACAATTGTTTTCTCTAGATGGACTTGACCTGGCTTGAGTCAGAATGGGGGAAAGAAGACAGAGGCATATCCAGGGGAAACAGGTCTTGAATATATACAAGTCCTGCCAACATCACAGGTTTTCTAGGGCTCAGGCACTCTGACCACAGGTCCTCACGTGTGTGCCCCGTGAGTCATGCATACTGAGATTCCAGTATCCTGTGGCACCGAGGAAGGGGAACACCAAGTCGTGGCAGTTCTCCAGCTGTAGGTGATAGCAGTAATACAAGGGACTTTCCTTTATGCTGGCCCTTTCTTCCCTTTCTCGTGGGTCTGTAAGTGGTTAATCTACCTAAGCTGGTAGGAACAGCTTTCCACCTTCTTGTAAAGTTTGATTCCTGGAGGCAGATTTTTTTTTTTAATCCAGCAAGTGTCAGATAATTGGAAGGGTGGGGTAAGGCTGTAAACCACGACACACCTTTGTCAGAACTTGTTTGGAAGCACAGAGCTGCAAGAAACAAGGTGGAGAGAAGAAGTGAACATTTTTGAAAGATCACTCAGCTTTAACACACCTTGGCTGGGTCTGGATAAAAAAAGTGGGCACTGCAAATTCTAGAAGAAGGCGTCAGGGGAAGAGAGACGGGGGATTTATTGAAAGTTGTTTCCTTCAAAATCCCAAGCCAGGTAAGTAATAAGAAGACTGACCTTTCTCCCCCCTTCTGAAACTTTGATTTAAGGTTTGCCATTTAGAAATTAAATGTGTATTAGAGAAAAGAAGATGAAGTTCTTTAGTTTCTGTGTTCTGGTTGAAGTGATTAATTGGCTATAAACGGTGACTTTGGTAGATGCTTTCTGCTTAGGGTAGGTCTTTTAAAGGAAACAAGAAGGCTCATGAACAAGAAGGAGGAGGAGACCAGTTAAGATACACAGAGCTCTAGTGGCAAGATTTTTCTGTATATTTTCAGTATTGTAAAATGACTTGTATTAAGTTGTTTTATTTAGAATATGATAAGGGCTTATAACTCCTTCTCTCTCCACCTCAATTTTCCCTCCTCTATCTCTCTCTCCCTACCGGACAGAAGAGAACAGCTCAGAGGTGAAGTTAAATGTAGGGAGAGGGGGTCTTCTGGAGAGCCTGTGCTGCCCAGGCCTCTCTGCTTAAACTCAGGGTCCGGGCAAACATTGCTGTTTATCCTGCTGTAAAATTGTTCCTGCCCCTAATCTAAAGTGAAGTGAAATCTTTGAAATGGTCTAATCAATCCAGGAATTTCCTAGAGTCAAACTTGGAGGAAGACAAAAAAGAAAGGAAATTTTCTTCAGGGTATATACTCTTACTGGCCAACTGTGGCCCCATCTCCCCCCAAAAAATCACTTTGAGGTGAGAATTACCAGTTTACGGACCACGTTAACTGCTAACTGACAAATTATCACTTTACTTTTTGAAGTGAAGGCAAAACCTCTGGCAAATTACTTCTTCTGAGAGGCAGCTGATCAGTAGTCTAACAGTCGGATTTGTTCTGTCCATAAAACGGAGTGAGATTTTTCAAAGGTATTCGTTTGAAAAGCAGAATTGTTTCTTCTCACGTCTGTATTTCTGTCTTAGCGCCAAGGCGGAGATCTAAGTCAGAACTAACCTAAAACAGATGCCTGGCCCTGACGATGCCTTGCAGAGAATCAGAGGGGGCCTGCTTTACTCTTAGGCCCCGCAAAACACCCGCACGAACCTGAGCAGTGTTTACAGGGGGGCCGTTAAAGGGAACAGTCCTGCTTCAAACTTGCGCAGCAACTGCTTAGACTGGTGAACCTGATCAGACCTGAGAACTAAGCACATTCTTAGATGCTGACTGACCAAAAGAAGGCTGCGTTTACCTCGTTTGTTTCATCTGCCGTTATTAACGGTGGCAGGACCCAGCGGTAAACAAGCCGCCGCATGATCACGAAGCTGGTGCCCCCCTGCTCCCAATCATGAAAGCAGAGGGTGCCAAATATTTCGAGCGGCAACCCCTTCCTTGGGTTTTTGGGGGGCCGGGGCTTTTGCCCGTTCACCCCCGGGGCCTTGGTTTTTTTGGTTTTCAACTTTTTTTTTTGGCCTTTTTTTTTCTTCGGTTCAGGGGCCGTTGGTTGTTTTTTTCTTGTTTTGGCATTTTTTTTTTTTTTTTTTTTTCAATTTTAAGGATTCCGGGGTTTGGGTTATTCAAGGTTTTAAAATTCTTTGTGTTTCTTTACCGGGTTTTGGGACCTTTTTTTTTTAAATTTAAAAATAGAGAGAAAAACACTTAGCTTCTTCATTCTCTTTGTTGTATCAAGAACGAAGTGTTTCATGTGTCATTAGAATAGGATAAGGTCAACGTGATGATTTATTGTCACTAACAGTGACTTGTCCTTGTTTGTGTGTGTGTTAGACTGCATCATCATCTGAAGAGTTTTAGGCGGATTTGACATCATTTAAATAAAGTAGAAAGGGAAAAAATCATAAAAGTAGAGAAATGATTTTATACTGTGTCTTCTTGCATGAGAAAATGACGTGGGATCATTTTTACATCTTCAAGAGTATTAGCTATGAAGTAACCACGAAGCAGCGCTGTAGATCTATGGATGGAGATGTGTATAATTTTGGAATTGGGAACTTGGATGATCTGCTCATCCTTAGCTCTAGTAAAGTGGCCCAAATGTCCAAGAAGTTAGAAATTATACTCTTTGACAGTGCTTTCAGTAAGTAGTGTTTCTGGAGGACGAGTGCCCTGGTGAGTACTGCTAGGGGAGGCAGGCTTGGGCACGTACCTGGGCAGGAAACTCTCCTTTCCCTAATGCTACACTTCTAAAAACTATCAACACTTAACATGTTTAAAAAAGAAGTCCTGTGAGAATGCCACAGGTCTCATGGGATGATCCTAGTCTAGTCTCTATGTAATAACTCACTTATAGAAAGTTTCCTCTTACATTTGGCTTAAAGGACTCCATCTCCCAACACACCCCTGACACCTCACTCGGACCATCAGCCTGGCAGAGAATTCTGTATAGCCGTGGGACACACAGCCATTTGAGTGGCTTCAGGCTGAGACAGAGGCATCTACCTGTACCTACCTAGAGCAGGTTCTAGGCACAGGGTACCTTCCAATAAGGAGCTCCCAGCCCCTGAAGGAGGGCATCTGATTTCTTAGTAGGACATCGCTTCATGTCCTCTGGAAATCGGGGAACCCTTGGATCTTTGCTGCAGAAATCAAGGTTTTGTTATTAGGATTTAGGGAAAAGATCGGGGGCCTAGAAATGCCTGTTATTTTTCTGCATACAGAAGGAACAGGCAAAACTTGCCAGGTTTGCTGCCTGGAGACTGAACTCAGCAAACCAAGCTATCATCTGTCCGCCTAAATGCTACAGGTGCTACAGCCAATCCCAAACGTATAGCTGCTGGCAGCAACTTTCATTCAAGGATCAAAATAAGTAATAACTTGTGGGAAGTAAGTTTCCATGGATTGTTATAAACAGTTCCTTCCAGGATAATATTTTATATCAATTCAGGTGCCATCCTAGAGAGTTAGTCACCTCCCCACGGGCAGCGAGGTGCATTTAAATGTTTCATCTCCCCAAATGCCTCCTGGCCCACAGCTAATGAGCACCTAAAAAAACAAAGTTTAAAGGGGCTTCTGAGGCACCAAAGGCAATTAACACTTAACACAGGATTTCAAAGACGGTGTCAGCTACATGTGGCTTCGCATGATACAAGCCGTACAAGTCGTAGCTGGAATGCAGACATAGTCACAGGCCGGGCTTGGCCTTCTGATGAGGCTGGACTCCCCTGCTATGCTGTTTATGGAGCCCTCCTCTGAGTTCCAGGAAACACACCTATAAAGATATCCTGTGGCTTCTCAGATCCAGCTAGGATTTTTTCCATGATGCCTCATTCGTTGCCCAGAGCTGCGTTTAAGAAACACCGATGAGCAAGAGGTTGGCACATTTGACCAGGCCCTGAAGCTAAGTGCGCCCCGTCCCAGCTAATTCCACCAAGTAGTTGATCTACTGGTCCCACGTGGTCTTGGTTTTCAGCGGGGAAGTCACCCAGAGCCACATTACGACTTTCATGAGCCCTAGAAACTTTTGCCTTGGCAGGTCCCTTCCTCCAGAAAAAAACTTTTTAGAATGATATTTTACAACTGCATTGGTATAAAGAAGTATGTAATCCAGGTTAGATTATGTTTGTTTTTCCTTCTGACTTTAAAAGAAATTAAAATATTTTTATGGACCCCCAAAAGTGCTGTGGGTCTAGGCACCAGCCCCAGTGTGCCTGGTGGATAAGTCGACCCTGAAGTCACCAGGCAGGCGAACACCGGAAGGCAAGATCTGCAAGCCAGGGCCATCTGGCAGAAGTGGCATGCCTCGGAATTCTGGAATCCAGCTTGAACTGCAAACGAAAGATAAACTAGGAGGAAGAGACAGTGAAGACAGGGGAGGGAACCACAGGCAAAGCCAGATTTTAAGTCCTCCCAGAACCTGGGACCAAGCACTGCAGCAGGAAGAGCCCAGTGGGGGCGGAATCCTTGTTGTGCATTCCCATGTGTTTACGGCTGGAGCCCCCACACTCCCATCCCTGACGTCAGCCCTGCCTCACACCGTCCATGCTTAGGGACACAGCGCACAAGACTGCAGTGAATTTCCTCTTCAGGAGCAGAGTAAGAGTGAAGGGAGAACATAGAAAATACATACAAATATGTATGCTCCCACGTGGCTCTATAGATCTTGCACAGATTCTATTCATCTATTTTTCCTACTTACGTCTACATACAAGCATATGAGAGCTGGTTATTATGGAAAGAAAGTTCCATGCAAATATGACAAATATAATGATTTTTATCCTGATTTAAATCCATCAAGGACCATTTTCACATCCAGACTCTAAATAATGAAGCATGAATGTCTCGTGTGCATAGAGTTCCATAGAGAACACTGAACATTATGGGATACATCAAAATGAATTAGTCGATAGCACGAAGAGGCTTTGACAGATTCCTTCAGCTATTTATTACCACTGCAAAGAAAGGTTTTACAGTCAAACAAAGGTCAGGGCAGCCCATCTGCTGTGCAAGCCCAGCAGGGGGCAGTCTGAGCAATTAGATTCTGAAAAAGAAGATCCCAGCACAAAGGAATAGAATCCAAAGTAGAACTATTACATTACTCTCTACTATATTTGATGACAAGAAATGGGAATGACTCTGGTAAAAAAATATATATATATATGCACATGAAAGGATTAAGCTTAGAATTGGAGGAATCAAGATCTGGGTTCTCAGCTTGCACAGCGGGGACCTATACTTACTAAAAGCAATGGTAAGAGACACGCCGTTCACCGTTTCCGGCTTTTCCTGCAGGTGGCTATGGTATGGATGGAACCAAGAAGAACAAACGAGATGGCACCGAAGTCACTGAAAGAAGTAAGAGCATCAGAATTATTTTTATTTATAATTGTTTCATTATAAAGTAATACAAATTTGGAAACAAATAATTTATCCATAATCCCACCACAACCACTATATCATTTTAAAATGTGTTCCTAAATGGACTTTGTTCCTTACCATAAGATGGCTCTTGTTGATTTTTATTTTAACACACTTGTAACCAAAATGTGTCCTGGTTTTTCTTCAGAGATGAAAGTTGCCATTTTCATGTATAGTTTTCATACCCAGCATTTTTAATGACAGCGTAACATTCTGCTGAGTGAATTCACCACAGTTTATTTAACCATTTCCCTATTTAGGATACAGGGCAATAGAAATCTACAAGTATAATATCCCAGTTATTCAAAGACACAGTTGAAATGACACTAACGGCATAGTCAAAATCTACACTGAAAATTGAAAACACATATTTATTTTGTGAAACTGTCCAAATGATAAATTCAGAAACATTTAAACTGTCCCCTTAACAACTCTAAGTTAGCGAACTTTTTCATTTAGTTGATGACTTTCATATATCTCCAGTAAAAACATTCTGGCTCCACAGACTTGGAACTTTAGGTTAGGAAACAAATTATTTTTATGTGTCAAAAAAAAATCCCAAAGGTCTATACAATGAGAGGTTCAGTGAAGCTCAAGAACTATTATTCAAATCAAGCTGCCACTTTACTCTGAAAAAACATTTCCTTTTATGCATTGAATGCTGTTTCTGGTACATTCATAACCCCACGTTCCTGCTAGGACAGCCAAACTCATTAGGAAAATGCAGCGTGAAGGAGGGTGGCGCCAATGAGAGTCCTGTGGGGTGGAACAGGCGCCAGCAGCACAAGATGATCCTGCACCATCTTCCTCCCCTTTCTCCTCCTACCAACCTCCCCACATGCATGTGCATGTGCATCACACACACACACATACACACACGTCTGCTTTTAAAGACCAGCGACCCCAGCTAGGTAGGTGCTCCTCCCAGGTAGGTAAGCCCACCAGAGAGAGAGGTAGAGGTGGTGGCCAAGGTCAGAGCACAAAGTGGGCCATGCTGTGATTTGGGGAATCTACCCACCTCCCCGTGCTCAGGGATGTCTTTCTTCTACCTCGTGTCTTTTAAAACACTCGAAGCTTTAATTACCCCTATAGACTCACCGTCACTCGGTTTGTCAAGGCTGTCTTTGATGTTGATCGATCTCTGATTTCACCAAGCACCAAATGGGGCTCACCCAGACACCCTCACCCACTTCCTTCCCACACCTCCCCACGCTCAGGCTGGCCCTGAAGATTTTAGAATGAATCATGATGTCCTTGAAACACCTATAAATTAATAAAGGACACAGCGAAGCCAGCCAGAGTGCTGGTCCCAGCTGGACTGGGAGACCACTGGGAAGGAGCAGCGCAGAGAAAGAGAGTGACATTGACGCCAAGACAACTCATGTTTCAAATCAGTGGGTAACTTCTTCTGCTTCCAAAGAGATACTAATTTATTTCCCAGGTACATTCAACCCCATTGTTTTTGCTCATATTTTCATGTACGGTGAGTGGGTCAGATCACATATCTTAAAGCACAAGTACACAAAAATCGATGTTGAACCTAATTTAATATGTTTAGTTTATGGCAAATGTTAGACTTTGCCAAAATACAGAGGTTTCAGTGCATTACATAAGATCTCATTTTTTTCTTTGTCTTTTTCTAGTTATCACTGAAACAGTAACTACAAGACTTACATCCTTACCACCAAGTAAGTGGCTACCTCAATAGCTTTCTTCTCAGTGGGTCACATGGGAAGGACCCCACACTTGTGACCTTTTCCATGGGAGCTCCAAAAGCACCTTTTTTTCCAAATAGCAACATTGACATTAATTTATGTACAACAAAATCCACCGGTTTGAAGTGTATAGTTCAATGGTTGTTAGACTATTCACAGAGTCATGCAGCCATTGCTACGGTCTAATTTTAGAACAGTTCCATCACTCCCCAAAAAGAAACCTCGTGACCGTTAGCAGTCACTCTCCATTTTCCCTCCTCTCTGCTCATCTCCTAGAAACCACAGATATAGTTTCTGTCTCTATAGATTTGCCTATTCTGGCCACTAAAATGTCGAAGTCTTACCCAACCTGAGCACAGAGTGGAGGAGGGGAACTTCCAGCCAAGCTTCTGGTTGAGGCCACTTTTTTCCAGGAGCCCCTTAGGTTTAGTGGATTCTGTAAGAGTGATCTGAGCCCCATGACTACCCCGCACCCCCAGGAAGCCTGGCTCGCTGGGATGGGGACAGCCCACCCATCACTGGAGCAGGGATGGGCTGCCAGGTGGGACACCAGCAACACAGAGCTGTCACATACCCCCCCTGACACTTCCAGTGGCTGCCACATCTGGGCACTGACCAGGCACTGGGAAGAAAAGCAAGCCCAACCAGGTCCTGGATTTGGGGGCTTTCATCACTCAGCTTCCTTTTCTAATATTTAAATTTTCCTAACAAACAACTTGCTGTGCTCCACCCACATGACCTTTCTTTTAAACCAGGCAGAATATTCACTCCAGACATTTGTATCAAAAACAAACCAACAAAACCGGAGCATGGCAGCTTGCACCTTGCACTGTGGGTGGGAAAGGGACCCAAACTGAGAAGGTCCCTGGTGAGAGATGAGGGAAGGTTTACACAGGGCGGAGGATGAGGGGACCTTCCCTGAAATTGTCACCTGCTTTTGTCTCTGGCAGAAGGGGGGACCAATGGCTATGCTAAAATAGGCTCCCTTGGCGGAGGGAGCCGGATGGAGAAACAAAGCCTGACTCACGGCAGCAGTGGCTACATCAACTCGAGTAAGTGCCCACTGGCGCGAGGGTCGGGGGAAGGGCAGGTGGACAGGGAGAGAGCCACCGAGAAAGTCCTGCAAAGGACACAGGGCAGGCTCGACCCTGAATCAGCGCATGAGAGGGACAATTCCAACTGCTTGTCACCCGGAGAGTTGTCTAAATGACACACACCCAGGGAGGGTGCAACTTTTAAATCATCGGCATCCAGTTACCGCAATTGCATCAGTTTTCATTAAGCCCTAAATATAAATAACTATCATTAATTAAAAAGCTTTCGCGGGTAGGTGACTGTTTCCCCAGTGAATCACTGTCTTTAAGCCATTTCTTTAGAGAAGGGTGTGCGCTCTTGAGAGTGTACAATTTAAATTAACAACAACAACAAAAGAAACTTAACGATTGGGTTACTGTGCTAAGGGTAGCTGGTGACAAGTGATCCTACACTGTGCGAGATTCCACTGGGCCAGTGCCCAACACAAGCCCATTGTTCCCAATGAAACGCTCTTTCAAACTGAAACACAACAAAGCAAAGAAAGCAAAACAAAACAAAAAGCACAAAGCATCTGCATAACCCTTGAAGCCATTTTTAAAAACCTCGAAGCGAAACTAAAAACTAATACCCACGTCATAAGAACGGTTGACCAAGAGAAGCACCTGCCCTTCCCTGTGGAGCAAGGTTTCCACATCGGACTGTATTCTAGTCTGTCCAGGCAGCGGGCCACGATTACACATCGGGGCCCCAGGAAAAGTGCCCCCGAATCCTTTCCGTGTCCGTGCGCTGTAGTCATGTGCGTGAAGGACACTCCTGCCTTTCAGTGTCCGCAGGGAAGGCAGAGGAATAAGTCTCCCCTCCCTCGGGAATGCTGAGACGGGCCCCCTCAGCTGTGCTCTCCCGGCGTCCCTGGCCCTCTCTGGGCCCCTCCCTTAGCTGTGAGTTGGTTATTCTAACTGGGTCTCCGCAGCCATTGCACCCATCTCTGCGGAAGCGCCGCGGGTTTACGCTCTTCCCCACTTGCAGGTGGCAGCATACGCGGCAACGCCTCCACCTCCAGTTACCGGCGGGCTCATTCTCCCGCCTCCACCCTGCCCAACTCCCCCGGCTCCACCTTCGAGAGGAAAACTCACGTCACCCGCCATGGAACATACGAAGGTATCAGCGCTGCCACTGTAGAAGAGAACCAACCATTCTCTTCCCCGAGCAACTCCCCACTCGTCCTTTGAAGATTGACATGCCGGCCACCTGCTTCCGCTGTGTCTGTCCCCACAACCCTCTCCCCACTCCTCCTTCATTTCTTTTAGGGACTCCATTGCTTGAAGATTTCATTCATTCATCCACCCCCTCATTCATTCATTCATCCATTTAGTCACTTTTTCAACTAGTGTTTTATCAAATGCCTGCCATGTGTTAGCACCATGCAGAACGCCTGGATGGATGTTTAAATGAATCAGACACAGGTCTCGTCTTCAAGGAGCCTAGAGTCCAATAGACAAAATGACAGATAAAAAACTATCATGCAAAATAAAAGGGGATTATCATGTTCAGCTGAGGAAATCAGAGAAGACTCTCTAGAGGAGGTGACATCAAAGCTGGGCCTTCACGAGTGTAAGATTTTGATGGCCGGAGATGGAGGGACGGGGCCGTCCAGGCTGTGGCGGCAGCAGTGTGAGCAAGGACAGGCCGGAGAGTCCAGGAATAAAGTGGAAAGCACAGGGGTGCTTCCGTGAAGAGAGTTTGAGGGACTCAGATGCAATGCTAGGAAAATATGTTTAGACTTTCTTCTGCACACGATGGGAAGCCACAGAGATTTTTGAGCAAAACAGTCATATTTGAGGTCCAGGACTAGAGTTCTGGAAGCCACATGCAGGGAGAATTGGTGAGAAAGAGCTAAACATGGGTGATAGGTTAAAAGGAAATCCTCGGTAGTCCAGAGGAGGGAACTTTTGCCTGGGACTGGGTTGCTAACAACAGAGGAGCGGAGCAGGGGTGAAAGGTATCGCCAGGTTCTTCTGAAATGTCTGCTGAGGGCTGCGGAAGGCTGCAGAGTTGCAGAGAGAAGTGGCCGGGCACTGCCCTCTCTCCTGGAAGCCTTATGGGCCTAAGTGGTCATTTGTCCTAAGTGTCTTGTCCCCTCTCCAGGGAGCTCCAGTGGCAACTCTTCTCCGGAGTATCCTCGGAAGGAATTTGGTACGTCCTCTCCTTATTTTCTAAAGAAACTGACCTGTTTTCCTCTTGCTTTTTATCCTGAGCCATCTTCAGGGGACTGTCAGCCACATTAACTTGCTGTCGTAAGTGCTTGCTCATGGCACTACTGCAACGGCAAGCTATTTATACGAGGTTCAGGCTTGGACAGATAAGCTCCTAAGGCCAAGCAATAATAATTGTGGGGATTCTTCCTTACACAAGATGCGCAGAGACCTCCCAGCAAGAGGAGCTGCGGGTAGAACTCACAAATGCCAACTGTCCCAGCACCTCCACTGTCGCGTGCTACCAAGGGGCACAGTGTGTGCCTAGTGCACCCCTGGACTGTATCTTTACTTGGCTTTAAGTCTCTGGCCCATGTTCTTGGAATCTCACTGTGCATATGAATTGATGACGTGATCATTGATTGTACAGTGATTATAATTTTATTTATTTGCTTACAGTGGGAAAACCAAAGCCGTCTCTAATAAAAAATTAAAGGGGAGATTTGGGAGCCTTTTGATACATTCGATCAATGTAGTCAGCCTGTCCAAATGGATCATGCTCTCAAATAGATTATCTTAGCTAACTTGACACTCTGAGTGTTAGCTAACTTAACATTCATTTAGCTAATTTAACATCCTGAATGCACAGGAGCATTGCAAAACCTTCTCTGCCCTTTAGCTAAGTGATTATCACTTCCAAAGCATCCAATATACAGAAAAGTCCCTATGTAGATTAGACACGCTATGAAAATAACCTCTCCCCAATATATCTACCTCCATGTCAAAAATTTGCAGCATGCCACATCTTATACAAGCTTAAGATTGCATTTCTTTGTTTCTCAGCATCTTCCGCAACCAGAGGACGGAGCCAAACACGAGGTGAGCGCTATCGTTGGGTTCAGTTCAATTCAGTCAATGAGTGTTTTCTGAGCAGGGAGTGTGGGGAGTACAGAAGAACAGATAAGGCATGCTTCCTGCCCTCATGGAGCTCACGGTATCCTGGGAATCTTTTGCTGGCCCTATCAGGATGGGAGGGGTAGCTTTTGACAGCGACCTAACAGGGTTGTAGAGGCAGGAATCAAAACGCATGGTAGCCACCTGGGCAGAGTTTGTCCTGCTGTGGATTATCTGAAGACACAGACATCTGGTCTCACGTCCAGTCTCCTGCTTGACTTTCACAAGATGTGCTTTAATTGCCTTCACACATCAAAAGATAAGCAAACCCCCCTCCTTTTTTCAAGTTATTCCAGGGGACAAAGGGCCCCATGACACTTTTGTAATCTCCTTACCTGGACAAGGATGTAGGAGATATGTGTGGTCCTGGGAGAAGCTGCCCTGGCCAGGGTCTGGGCAGGTGGTAGGGGCAGCGTGTCAGGGCTGTCTGTGCTGGAGGCAGAGTCCTTCAGAGGCTCAGCAGGTTCCCCGTGACCCGCCTAGACTTCCTACAGGCCTGACCATCATAACTTGGAAGGAGTATACCAACCACCCACAACTCTAGGCTGATCATTGAAAGATGCCAATTCTCCACCTTAACGGTTCAGTTAAGCTACCAACTTCCTGCCCTTCCCATTTCTGAAGAGGCCAAATGGCTGAGTAAACACTATGGGTTTTAGGATTCTCTTGCCAATGCCTGAGAGACCACAGAGGCAGAAGAGAAGCTTGGCGCTGGCCATTATGAAATAGACACAGGAAAGGGGTTTGTCATTGCTGATTGTATTGCGACCTCCTTGCTCCTAGGATTTTATTTTGTCGTTCACAGCCTTCTCCATCTCTTTCCTTGCACAGAGAGCGAAATTCGAGTTCGACTGCAGAGTGCGTCCCCATCTACCCGATGTAAGTGCTCACTACCTTGCTGAAAAGAAAGGACCCAGGAATCCAGTGCTGATGCCGTGTGTGTGCATGTGTGTGTGTGGGTGTATTTACATGTAGGTGCGTGCACTCAATCATAAAACATCCTTAAGGGCCTTCTGTGAGGCAGAGCCTGGGCTGGGTGCTGAGGCTAAGTTGCTGAGTAAGCCATGGTCCCTGCTGCCCTGCAGTTCACAGACTAGCGGGGAGCTGAGAAGTCAACCAACCATTGCCACTCGGCGTGGGGAGGGAGCGCGGCGGAGCCGCTCCACGGCAGCCCAGGGAGACGGGGCCAGAGAGGCCTTCTTGGGTTGGGTGTCACTTGAGGGAGACTGAAGGGCAGATCAGTTAGGCTCAGAGGGATGAACCAGCACGTGACATCTGAGGAACAGTTCAAACAGGGACACAGCGGGACAGCTAAGATTAGAGAAGGGTCAGAGGTCGAGTATGAGAGTCTGAGCTTTACCTCAAATGTTGGAGACTCCCCAGTCTCTGTCCATGGAAGACATTAGACTCCTGTTATTCTTGTTTAAGGTTATTTGCAAAAGTTTGAAATGAGCTCAACTTTCAGGGCAGGAGCCAAGTACAAGGAGTAAGAGGAGAAAGAGCAGGGACAGGAGACTCGGGACAGCTGTGGGGGCTGCCCAGAGAGCTCGGCGTGGGGGCGTGGGATCTGACTCCAGGCCCGACACTTTCTCCCACGTCCTTCCAGGGGGGTGCTGAGCCCAAAGGATGGAGCTTTGGAGGTGGGGGAGAGGCCGCAGTTCCTCCAGCATGGGTTGTCTGCAAATCTGTCCAACTCCTCTCCACACTGCCGTGCACGATGCCTCCCTCCTCTCCTGGTTCCATGTTGGGAGGCACCGGGAGCTCACTCCACTAGTTCACCTTGCTGCAAATCAGATCAGCCAGACAGACTTGAAATTAAATCACATACGAAAGCAGCATAATGTTTAGGAGTTAGGGGCCAGTGTATGACAGTCCCGGTCATACAAGGTCAGAGACCCAACATCCTAGGCGTCCTGCACAGGGAACGAGCCGACTGTCAAACCTTTTGTTTCAAGGGACCTGGTTCTCTGACTGCCTGATCCTGAATGACAGTGTCTTCCAGCCACAGAACCATCCCTGTGTTGTCTGATGAGGGCTAATTTGGAAATATCTCCCGAGGACTTTGACCTCCTTGTGAGAGGCACTGTATTTATGGGCTGTTAATATGACAAAGTGCCAAGCTGACAAGTGCTATAAATTGGCCAAATGCAAACATGATAAAGCTAACCAAAAATGCCCCAGGGTGTGAAGTAGATGCCATTCTCCCTAGTATCCAGAATGGCCACAAATGTTCCTTCAACTGCAGATGAACTCAGGAAAGAATCCTGGGCCTAACAGAAAAGTCTGTGTGTCCTTTCACAGGGACGGAGTTGGATGATGTTAAGCGTTTGCTCAAGGGGAGTCGATCGGCGAGTGCGAGCCCCACCCGGAATTCCTCCAACACACTCCCCATCCCCAAGAAAGGCACGGTGGAGACCAAAACCGTGACAGCCAGCTCCCAGTCGGGTAAGCCCCAGGCTGCCTTGGAGGGAAGGGAACAAGGTGACAGACCTACCCTAGCCTGGGAATTCAGCTCTGCCCGGGAGGCCTTTCAGCCTTTGCCAGACACTTCAAAAGCACCGAGCAGAGCATCTGTTCTGTGAGCAGCATGAAAATGTGGGCTGTGCCCTTCCTACCCCTGGCTGGTCACCCATTGCACACGCACACTGACACCCAGCCCTAAATCCCCAAGTTTCTCTCCCAGTTGAATGTGTTGATTGGGTTCCCCAAATGAAGAATATTGGGGAAGGTTACCGTGTTTTCACTCATTTCCTCAATGAATATTTATTACATGCCTCCTCTATGCCAAGCACAAGCAGCTGGGAAGGGAGACGCAGTCACTGCCCTCGTGGACATGAGGGTCTCTGGGGCAGGTCAGGAAACTGAGAGGTCCTGGTCACGTAGGATGAGAGCTGTTAGCAGCCATGTATCAGGTGGGAGACAGAAAGAGGAACTGGCAGGGCGTTGGAGGCAGATGAGGGAAGAAGCCAGGTCTGCTAGGACAAGAAGCTTCCCTCTCACTCACTAGAGAAAATCCTTTTTGTTTTTACTATAAAACCAAACCTCGAGGCACCCTCTGAGCTGCACAAGCTTCCTCCCATAGGATGAGCGGGCAGAAAAGGAGTCAGATTCGAGGAAGCATGGAAATCCCCTCTCTGGGGCGGTGCTCCTTGTGTCTGGCTGGCACATAGGAATTTAAGGAGCGTATAACCAGAGAAGGCTGCCATCTGTGCAGTGTGGCCTCAGACCTGAGGGCTCCCCTGCCCAGACATGCACCCCGCACTTGCCATGCTGCCTGGAATTCCACTGGAAGAGATTTTCTTCAGGGGCTCACTTGTTACTCCTGATAGAGCTGTTCCCTGGCCTCTTGGAAGACGAAGCAGTCGGCAGCTGGTTGGGAGGAAGTCCATTGGCAGGACAGCCGGCCAGGAGGTGGGGAGATGAGCTTAGAAGGAGAAATGGGTGGATCCCAGGGCAAAATTTAGCTACCTCTAATTTCACCAAGAGCCAGCAAGAGCTTCTATCCCAAGGGATCAAGTTTTCACCAACTCTGAGATTCCAGATAGACCTGTCCCTGGTTGCCCTGGCCGGATGGAGTTCCTCGGAATTGGGATCTTCGGTGCTAAAACCAGGAAAGTTCCAGCAAACTGAGACGACTAGGTTCCCCTGTCAGGGAAGCGCTGACTTGTCTCTCACTGGGCTGTGTGTGCATCTGTTTCCAGTGTCAGGCACCTATGAGGCAACGATCCTGGATGCCAACCTTCCTTCCCACATGTGGTCCTCCACCCTGCCCGCGGGGTCCTCCCTGGGGACCTATCACAACAACATGACGACCCAGAGCTCGTCCCTCCTCAACACTAACGCCTACTCTACAGGCTCAGGTACGTGTGTGGCAGGCAGCGCATGCCCCCTCTCTGCCTCCAACTCAGCTCACCTTTACTGGAGCTAGGTGACCCCCTGGGTGTGTGCCACCCCCAGGGCTTCCTGGAGAGGTTCTCTGTGGCCAAGCATCCCAAGAGTCTCCCACTGGAACTTAGGTTCAATTAAATCTAGAATGTACTTCTTCTGGTGGGTCCCCCATAGAAAGGAATATATAGTGCAGCATATCCAGAAAAAATATAATGGACAAGAACACTGAAAATGAGTATAAGAGACCTAGTTTCACTCCCTGTGAATTGGCCGTGAGACCTTGAGCAAGTCATTTAACTTCTCTGAGCTTCAGGGACCTTCTCTGTAAAATAGGGTGACTAACAAGAAAGCCTCTGGTTGGATCCATTGTCCACTCAGGTCTGACGGATCTGAGATCACCTGCCAGCCATGACCGAAGGTGCCCCACAGGCTAACATCTGGTTCTCTGCTGCAAGGCAAGAGCCTAAGTTCTTCCTAAAACCAAAACTTTACTAAAATATAAAAACCCAATCCTGGCATTTCCTCCAGTGCTTCTATGGTATTGGATTCTCTGCCCCTGGTCTAGGCTGGGCATCCCTCTCACCAGCCTTCCTCCCTGCCCTGCAGTCTTTGGTGTTCCGAATAACATGGCATCCTGCTCTCCCACCCTGCACCCTGGACTCAGCACCAGCTCTTCAGGTCAGTGTTGCCGTCTTGAGTCACCTTTTCTAGGCTGTTTGCTTAGAAATATCAGGATGCTGTCTCCTGCCGAGGAAAATGGAATGGTTTCTGGAGAAGACATCCTTTCTGCCCAAGAGCTTGAAGGACTTTCCTCCACGCTTGCTGCAGCCCAGGAGCAGAGGCCACGGGGCTGCATTTGGGAGGCAGAAGGCACAAAGCCTGTCCTCAAACACAGAGAGAACTCAGTCGCCAGGGCAAAGTTCTAAGACGAGGGGAGCTGAGCCCGCACTGATGTGCACATTCTGTGCTGTGCCCTCATTTTCTAGGAGAGTTGGAGCAATGGAAGTAAAGGGGTTGAGTCTTAGTTTAGGACGTTTTTGGGGTGAAAAGCATTGTTAAGTTAGAAGGATCTTATTTCAGATCTTTTTAGAAACAAGTTCATTGGAGTAATGACTATCAGATCTTTTTATAAACATAGTATTGGAGTAACTACATTGGGATAAATAATGTTACTGCTTATCTTCCAATGCAAACATACAACAATTTTAAAGAAATATCTACTCACTATGTTTCTAATACATCATAAGAGCCTATATGTAAATAAGTTACCAGCCCACATCTTTTTTTTTAAAGGAATCTGCCTTCTCCCTATGCTATTGTGACTAATAAACACAATGATGTGGCCGTCTTTGTTTCCTTGGCCGATATAGTTGCAAGTGCAAAGTTAGCGTTCAAATTTTCAACACCCACCTCCAGCTGACTAGAATTCTACCAAACCCAGAAGACATCAGCTTCATGCTTTGTTTCTTCCATCTTTGCTATTTTGCTTTGCAATGTCCTGACTAAGCCAGGCCCCGAGGGCAGGTGGGCTGATATCGGACCCATGATCTTGTCCCCAAACACTGGACAGGATGCAATATTAATAACAGAAGATGCTGACTAGGGAGGAATGAGCTGTTCTGTGCATTGTTAGAGATAAACAGGCAATCAAATAAACAAGGAGTCTTCAAAATCGTGGTGGAGGTGAGGGGAGTTGTATGTGTTTGAGTCAGGAGAAGGGTTACAGGGAAAACTAGGAGTCTGCCGAGGTCGTGCCTCTCAGCCCCCAAAGCCCACGGTTCCTAACTGGGCACCCAGGTGCCACAGGGAGCAGAGAGCCCTGGGATGTTTTTAAATTTTGAGAGAGACAGCCATATCTTTCAGACTCTGTGTGAACTGTTGCTTTTAAGTTGTGTGGACCCATTAGTAATTTTTGGCCTAGGGTAGGAAGGTGGGGGCATTAAAAAAAAAGTTACTGTGTCACTAAGAGTGTGGGAACACAACATCGGGGAATCTCTGTTGTCTGCAAAGGCCTTTATCACCGTCTGGGGACTCCAGGGGCTACCTTAAGCCAAGGGGCATCCCCTGTGCACCCTGTACTCACCTGTCCTTATTGCTTTCGCAGTATTCGGCATGCAGAACAATCTGGCCCCCAGTTCATCTGCCCTGTCCCATGGCACAGCCACCACTTCCACAGGTCGGTAGCCTGGGTTTGGAGCTTAGGGGCTGGGAAGGGACATCTCTTTGCAGCTATAACTGGCAATATCCCTTTTCAGCAACTGAATTAGAAGGACCATAATACCCCTGACAATCAATTAACCCTTCCCACCAAAGAAACAGCATCCCCCCAACACCTTAGAGATGCCAGCCTGGGTCAATTGCTGGCTCCAAACATGAGTCAGACACACAGGGGAGGCTGTACTGTCGACAGCACCTGCACCCTGGGGGGTGTCACCTGTGTGTTCCTGCATCTCTCAGAGCCAAGCTGGTCAGGCTGGTGGTCTTACCAGCTCGCTGCTGTCCTTGACAGCCCGCTGTCACTGCACCTCAGTCACCTGCTTGATTTTAGGGTGCACCCCCCCGAGGTCATAGCCCCTGTGCAAACCTGGGAAGGGGGAACACAGAGACCTGAGTCTCAGCCTTTGCCCTCAACTTGCTTACTGTTTAGTTGGAGTAGAAAGGCTGCCGCACAGGAGACAGTGAGGGGGATTAAGTGATACACTGTGCAGTGCGAAGCAGGCTTAAGAACCGTAGGAATTCAGAAGGGAAGGAGATGTGTGAGGGTCTGGGAGGACTTTAGAATGGTCCTAGAAGGATAAGGAGAATTATACCCAAGAATGTTCCACCTAAATCCTCCTTGCTGCCTCCGGGCATTGGAGAGAGTTGATTCATCATCCACTTCTCTCTGCTGGGGTGAGCGGGCCACTCCTGAGCCGCAGGGCCCTCCCGTGCTGCCCAGCTCACTCAGTGCTTCCTCTCTCCCAGCAGCAACGGCGGCAGCGTATGGTGTGAAGAAAAACGTGCCCCAGAGCCCTGCTGCTGTGAACGCCGGCGTGTCCACATCTGCCGGTGAGTGCTGTCTCCTACTGCAGGGAGAATTACTCTGCCGCGACACACGGCTGATTAGAAGATGGAATTGGACCCATGGGGGGGGTCTTAGGTCCACAAATGCAACTTACCCCAGGTCTCTTGGATGTTTCCGTGAGTGAGCAGACATGAGTGTCCCCTAACTTACCTTGGCCTTCCTATCCAAGGAGGGCAGGAAGCTCCACCCTCCACACCTGCCTGGGGTCATGCACTTGCACTACAGCCACCGCCCTTTAAGCCCTTGGCCTTCACCTGTTACCTGTAACCTGTCACAAGAGCCAGGGAGCCCCTCAGAAGCTTCCAGCTCCCTCCCCACTTTCTGTAGCATCTGTATGACTTGGTCCACACGGTGTGTCACCATATGGTGAGCTGTTTGCTCCATTGCTCCGATCCTGGTGTGTTTTCCTTTCAGTCAACAATTCATTTATTCAACAGATATTTACTGAGCACCTACTTTGTATCAGACGGACACTGTTCTAAGTGCTGAGCATAGTGAACAAGACAGGATGGATTCCTGCCCTCACCAAGCTGGCACACCCGTGGGGAATGCAGATGACAAACATGTAGACAAAGTATAAAGACAATTACAGAAAATGACATAGATTTTTAAGGACAGCAATGAGCGATGTGATAGAGACGGGAATGTGTGTATGGGGTGGGGGCTTTCGGTGGGTGGTCAGGAAAAGCCTCCCAAGAAGGTAACACTTAAGACCTGAAGGATAAAAATGAACCCACCGAGTCAGTTCAGGTAGGACCTGTATGACAAGGGGGACTTTTACTCACTCAGTAAAGAGTTATAATCTCCGGGTGGGGAGGCAGCCCTATAGCCCAGCCACCCAGAGCTTCTGATATTGCCCCAACCTTTTGGCGGCCAGGCCCAGCCAGGCAGGGAGGGAAGCCTGGGTCCCCACCACTGTCAGCGAGAACAGGAGACCCTCATATGCACCTGCTATTCCCTCTCTCCCTCTCCTCCTCCTCTCTCTTCTCTTTCCTCTTCTGGTCATTTCTTCCCTCTCCCTTCTCCTGGTACCTTTTGCTTCTCCTTCACCCACTCTTTTCCTCCCCAGCCCGCACCACCAGTGTCCAGAGTGATGACCTCTTGCACAAGGACTGTAAGTTCCTGATCCTGGAGAAGGACAATGTGCCCGCCAAGAAGGAGATGGAACTGTTGATCATGAGCAAGGACAGCGGGAAGGTCTTCACTGCCTCCCCCGCCAGCATCGCTGCAAGTATGTCCGAGCCCTTGCAACTCAGGTTTCAGAGGAAGGGCGAATAGTGCAGGAGACCGAATGTGCTAGCAAGCTAGTTTGACACGTTTTAATCACAAAACCACAGCCGTCCCATTCTAATGAAAAATGACTGCCTGAATAGGGTATCACAAGGTCTGCCTTGAATGCAAAGGAGCCAGAAAAATTCAGGTAACGGGTTCCCAGAGGGGTCTTTGGGCAACAGCAAGTCTCACTACAGGCACAGATCAGCGGAGATTAACCCCAGGAAAGCTCAGCTCTCTTCTGACCAGGCTAACCTTGACCTTGGGAGGTGGGGGACAGAGAAGGGAGGTTGCGGAGAGAATATATCAGATTATCATGGGTTCTGTGCACAGCTTCTTTTTCAGAAGACACCCTAAAAAAAGAAAAGCAAGCTGCCTACAATGCTGACTGCCACCTAAAAGCTGGAGCTAATGGTAAGAACAAGAATGATCAATGTTAATCTTGACTTCAGCCAAGCCACATTCCATCTCTTTGTCTTCTGAGACCTTGCAACCCAAAATGTGGTCCATGAACCAGCCACATGGGCAACACCTGGGAGTGTGTTAGAAATGCAGAGTCCCAGGCCTTAGCTCAGATCTGCTGGGTCAAAAGCTGCATTTTACCAACCTCCCCAGGAGATTCATGTGTGCATGCTATTGAAGCAAAAGCCTTCCTCTGGTGTGTATACAATGATTTTTTTTCTTGCCTTATTAGTTCTCCTGTAATTTTCAGAACTAATAGAAAAATGCTTTGTGAAACTTGTTAGCTTTCCTTTTTTTTTTTTTACCTTCCCAAATATCTGGATTCTTTCTTGGATAACCACATTTCTTCAGAAGGTCCTACAGACTAGACTCTCTCCCAATCATTGATTTCAGGGAGGTCAGTAAAGGATGAGGGAAATTAAGTCATAGAATGTTTTTAAATAAATGCAAATTAAATCAGTTACCATCTTCACAAGGTGGGAGACTGGAACCAGACTCCAAGTCTTCAAAGTTAGCAATTCCTTACACTTTCCCAGTGGAACTGGGGCTGTGGAGTCTAGGGACCCTTTTCAGAATCCGATGAAAGCTATAGAAAAATTTCCCAGAAAATTCCACACATGCCCACAAACACTCCATTTTCACATTGCATCAGTGATGCACGGACAACCCTCCTCCAAGTCCATTCTTGCTGTTCCCGGTTCCCTGCACCCCAGGTTAGGAATCTGTGTTCAAAGTCCCTGAACCAAGAAATCAGAGTCATTTCTCACAAGCACATTTATTGTCTGAATGCAAACGGCACCCCTAACATGGTCTTCCAGAAACGTTTTGGGGTTTAAGGGTTAAGGTCACCAGGGGGTTAAAATACTGTGCTTTCTTCCAGCATTAATTGTTTGCCAAGCCATGTCATCAATGTATTTATTGCAAATAGCAGATTAGGGAGGACTCAGTGAGTGGATGTTCCTGCACATTGTTGTTTTGCAAGGTGCCTGGGGGACATAGTTACCTGAAGCTCTACCAAAAATCAACTTGAGGGGTGGTCTTGTGGGCTCCTCCAGTTTAAAAGCTCAGATCAAAACCTGTGTTCTTGGTGTTTGTCTTTCAGGAGACCTGAAGACTGTGTCCACCAAGGGCAAGGACACTTCTGCAGGTGGGTGAGAAGGGTGGACTCTGCTGTGACAGGATCCAACGGGGCTGCTTATGGTTAATGGACCCGACGAGGGCCCCTCGCCTGGAACCCGTGCACACACGAGCTGCCTGAGCCACCCAACTCTAAAGAGTTTCCCTAATGGCTCAGAAGGGAGCGGGCAGAGGGCAGGCTGTGGGCTGGAGGTGGCAGTAGAAGGGGCCTGGCTCAGGGACGGTGCTTCACAGGCCCTGCCGCCCCTAATGAGCGCCCACTGTAGACTCTCAGGTTCCCAGCAGGGCAGGAGCAACACGGCAGAGCTGCTGTGTGTCTCCATAGAGCCTGGAGCTTGGAGCCCGCAAACCTCCAGCCATGCACCATTTCCTCACTTCTCCCCCACCTGTCGTAGAAGCAGGTCAACTCTTACTGCCCCACCTTAGGGAATTAAAAATCCTTTTCATTAAAAAAAAAAAAAAATTAAAGTTTACGGGCACCCCTGAGGCGCTGAGTGTAGTTCTAGGCACCTGGGGATTACAACGAACAGCTGTGGGAACTGAGGGGTGGAGAGGGGAGCTTTAGATCTGGACCTCCTCCGAGGCAGGTGGCAGATCGTGTAATCTTCCTAATAAAGACGTTAAGCTCGTGCTGTGAGCCCCATCCTCTGCTAACTACATTATTGCCTTGTCTCATTCACCAACCACCCTAGGAAGTAGGTCATCTTTTAGCCCCATTTTATGAGAAAGGAAACAGAAAGGTTGAGTGACCCTCCTGGGGTCACACAGGCTTCTGCTGTGCCCCAGCCACAGCCCGAGCTCCGCAGGGACTCGAAAGCCTCCACTCAGTCGCCCGGGACCCAGGGGAAGTCACCTACAGCCAGAGGACTTGCAGGGGGAAGGGCAGGAGCCGCCTGCATCTACCTCACCGCCCTGTCTCTCCCGCAGAAATTCATGGCTACGGCCACCACGGCGGCCGAGGCGGCGGCGGGGGCCCGTGGGCAGCGCCAGGCTGGTGCCCCTGCGGCTCCAGCTGCAGCTGGTGGAAGTGGCTGCTGGGCCTGCTGCTCACCTGGCTGCTGCTCCTGGGGCTGCTCTTCGGCCTCATCGCTCTGGGTACGCGCTCTGGGTACCGTGGTTACTGCGGAGAGGGAAACTGAGGCTGCCCGGGGGGAGTGGGACGCCCTCTGTGCGCCTGTGGCGCCCGCGCCAGGCGTTCAGCGACCTTTGATGACAAGGCCAGGGCTGGCTCAGCCCCTCTGCTTTTCGCCCACCTCTGTTTCCCTGCGGGCGCGCACACGGCCTCCCAGGGAGAGTGAGGGGAGCTCGGCCACCCGTCCAGAGGAGGGGACCCCGGGCCGGCCTTCTTTAAGACTCCCGTCCTGCTGGTGGCCACAAAGATTGTCTCCGCGTAAGCGTTCCCCCCAAACGTGCCCAGTGCCCAGCCGCCCGCTGACGCCGCTTGTGTCGCGTTGCAGCGGAGGAGGTGAGGAAGCTGAAGGCCCGCGTGGACGAGCTGGAGTGGGCCCGGGGCGAGGTGCTGTCCTTCCAGGAGAAGATGGAGCGCAGCAGCAAGGACCGCCTGCAGGGCGCGGCGCCCGGCTCGGGCTGGGACGTGAGCAAAACCGGGCTGGACGGGCAGGACCAGGAGGCGCTCTGGCTGTTCGTGCGCGACAAGCTCATGACGGAGCAGCAAAACGGTGAGAGCGCTGCGGGGCGAGGGCCGGGTCGCCCCGGTCGCATGGGTCACGAGCTCCTGTGTGCACCCGCCGTGGGCACCGCTCCGCCCGCTCCCAGCCCCTCTCCTCCTCCTGCCCTGTCGATAGCCCGTAGAGGCAGGTAGGACCAGGGCTGTGGTCCCATTTGACTGCTGGGAAAACTGAGTCCTGGAGAGAAGAGTTGCCCAACGTCAGTGGACTAGCCCAATTTAGAATCTGATTCCCAGCCTTTGCCTCTGTTTCTTCCTGCCATGCCACGACCCCCTTCTTATGTGCGTGTGAGGGACCCTGGAAGATGTGAAACTAACTCGGATTTACTTCCTCTTGTAGGAAATCTCCGAGGAAGCCCTGGCCCTAAAGGTATTATGGTGGATCAAGCCCTTTCCCTGCGCTCATTTCCTGCAGTTGGAGGCGGGTTTCCTGGGTGGATTGGAAAACTTTTTTCCAAATGGAAGGATGAGAAGCCAATCTTATAGCATCTGTTGGGAGGGTTGAGAGTTGGCTTTGGAGTCAGTATATCTTAGAATGGGAAGGGACCTAAGGCAGCATTCAGAGAGGCCCAGCAATGAGCCTGAGGGCACAGCCCCAGACTGGGAGAGACCCACAGGGCATGTGGCCTCGCCTTGAAACGCTGTTTACATTTGGTCAAGTGGTTTTAAAATACTAGGGAGACAATTGTCCTTGGGTTCTTACCCCATCCCACAGCTTTCATATCTTTCTGGTTTCAGGTGACATGGGAAGTCAAGGCCCTAAAGGTAAATATAACACCGAAATTTTTTACCGTAAATCCTAGTGAGGGTGGATGGTTTGTTTCAAGCAATCGGCAAGTGTCAGAAAACCCACCTCACACTCTGAAAAGTGATTGGAGATCAATGGGACAGGCGCATAGGGAGGAAGAGGTTTCCAATCCCAGTGCCCCTCGGCTGGACACAGAGCAGCTCTCCTTGACCAAACTTCAATGTGTACAAGAATCCCCAGAAGATTCTGGGCCCACCCCCAGAGCCTCTGATTCAGCAGGTGGGGGTGAGGCCAGGTGTCTGATAGTAATCTCCCAGGTGACTCTGTCGCCAGAATACCAGAACCATACTGAGAACCACCAAGAGGACGGGATCCCCTCTCCCCCAGCTCCTCTGTGCTTCCCAAGAGACCCCGGGACAGGGAGTGGATTTCTCCGGGTAGCGGCCCTCCACTTCTCTTCATCCTCCTGCCCCCCACCCCCCACACGCACCCTGGGACACTGCACCATGGCCCTCTCCCAAACCCCCTTCCCCCAGGCTCCAGCCTGCAGCCCACACCCCTCCTGACTGTGCTGGGGATGGGGACTGATGGTTCCAAAACCCCTGAACCTGCGGTTGTCAGATAAAATATGGGACTCCCCATTAAGGGTGAATTACAGATAAACAAGAAATAATTCTCACTGTAAGTGTGTCCCAGCTATTTCGTGGGACATACTTATACTAAAAATATTGTTTATCTGCAATTCAAACGTACCGAGACATCTGTATTTTTATCTGCCAAATTTGGCAACCTACCCGCATCCCACCAGTGAGGAATCGGGCAGAGTGCCCTGGCTGACTTCTCTCTTTCACCTTTGTTCCCGCAGGAGATCGGGGCCTCCCTGGGATCCCAGGTGTGTACTGTCCTGTGACCTCTGCTGCTGCGGGCACTGCAGACTCTTGGTCCTAGCTGCCAGCTTCCCAAAGGAAAGTAGGGCTGAAGTGTTCTTGTGTATCCACAGGTATCCCTGGGCCCTTGGGCCACCCAGGTCCAGAAGGACCAAAGGGACAAAAAGGCAGCGTGGGTAAGGACAGCTTTTTCCATTCATTTATCCCTTCATTCTTTTATTCATTCAATAAACATGTATGACGCCTACTGTGTACCAGGCCCTCTCTTAGGCACTGCGGAGACATCAGAGAACAAAACAGAGAAACTCCAGCTGGGGTGGGGGAGAAAGACAACAAGTGTGATGAATTAGTGAAGTAAATGGCTGGTTAGGAGGTGATGTGTGAACCAGAGGGACAGAGCCTGCCGGGACTTCGGGAGTGAGTGCTGAGGGGTTAAGAGAAGCTGCCATTTGAGTGAAGTCTTGAAGGGAGAGAGGGAGCCAGGCCCGAGGGGATCTAGGGGACACATTCCAGGCAGAGAGAGTGGCGGAGGCCAGGCCTCGAGGGTGAGTTCAAGGAGCAGCAGGTAGGAACAGGCATGGGAGCTGGGCGCAGGGAAGGCTGGCATGGGGACATCAGCTTTGACTCTCAGTGAGTGGAGAAGCCATCTGCAGGTCCAGGGCAGAGGTGGGACATGATCCACTTACATTTTCAAAGGGTCACTTTGGCTTCTGGGTTCACCGGAGGCTACAGAGGCCAGGGGAGAAGCAGGGAGGCCAGGGAAGAGGCCCCAGGCAAACACTCCACTGTGGGAGGCTACCTGTGGCACCCTTGGCTGTGGCATCGAATCCTAACTCTGAGGTTGGCCGTTCCTGTCTCTAGGAGATCCCGGCATGGAAGGGCCCATGGGCCAGAGAGGGCGAGAAGGCCCCATGGGACCTCGCGGTGAACCAGGGCCTCCTGGGTTTGGAGAGAAAGGAGACAGAGGTGAGAGGCGATTCCTTTGCCATGCCCACCCCTCCTTCTTTCCGTCGTCCTCCCTCTCCTCTGCCTTCGGGAGCACTTGCTGAGCACTGGCCCTGAGCCAGGGGCTGTGCCGGGCCCTGGAGACCTCAGTCTAACCATGGGGTGTGGGAAGGGCTGTGGGCCCAGGCATGGGGCAGGGGAGCAGTCTGCAATGCTCAGAATCCACGGGGAAAGTGGCCTCCCCAGAGTGAGGAGCGGGAAGAGTCAGGCCAGGGTGCGGAGCAGAGGGCAGGGCAGGATTTCGTGTGGAAGGGGCTGGGGTGCAGGCTTTCAAGCCTCTCCTGGCTGGAGCAAGGCAGGGAGGGAGTGAGAGAAAGCCTCAGACAGCCGCATCCCAGCACGGAGGGGGCTGAGAAGGAGTCACAGTCCAATCCCGAACCATGAGACTGCTTCTGTCGGGGGAACCAAGGAGACACCAGAAATCCTCTCAGTGCCAGCAGACCATGAGCGAGAAGCTTTTAGTTTTACTTTCTCTTTAAATATTGCTCAGCCAGGCAACAAATATTTACTGAGTCCTACTAGGCCCCAGACTTCATGGAACACAGAGGCTCGGGGGGTAGGAACTGCAGGAGCTTTGCTGGCAGGTGCCCTCGCAGAGGCACCAAACGGATCAGAGACCTCCAGCAGGTGGGCAGCCATGCTGGGGGGTCTCTCAACGTGCTCACTCCTCCTTTCCTCCTCAGGGGATTCCGGGAAGCCAGGTCCTCAGGGCCCACCTGGTGTCCCAGGTTCTGTGGGTCCCAAAGGTAAGTCAAGTGCCCAGAACGGTACCCAAGTTTGCCAGGGAAGGGCCACACCCAGGTGCCATCCCAGGTGGCCCTATTCCAGTGCCCAGGTCTGTGCAGGCGTGGTGGGTCCAGAGAGCATCCCCCCCACAAAGGAGTCCCTGGTGGGGGTGGGAGTGGGATCAAAAGTGGAGCTTTAATTTTAAACATGGATCCAACCACGTTTGTCTTTGATGGCCCCACAATGTGATCCCTCAGTGGATGGACGGATCATTCGGGAAATCAGAAGTCAGATAATTTCCTTGACTCACTGGGGCCCAGATGTGCATACTGAAAGCAACATGTCTGGATGACCCAGGGAGAACGGATGGGCCCCTTATCACAGTACCATGTCCATCTGGTCACCTTTCCTCCTGACCTCTGACCCAGCTCAAATGTCTTGCTTTGACCAAGAAGGAGTAAGGGGTCTCTTGAACTCAACCAGCTGCAGCCTCCTCCCTAAGGGGGACACTGCACTGGGGTCACTCCTGGCGCACTTGTTTGGGGTCCTGCCAAGAACCCATGCTGCATGGGCAGTGCGCACTCGGTGCCCTCACCGCCCCCCGCCGCCCTTCCCCAGGGGGTCAGGTGTCCTGGCCTGTCCCTGCCCCTCTGCTGATTGCTATCTTGTCCTCCTTCTCAGGTTCCAGCGGCTCTCCTGGCCCACAGGGCCCTCCAGGTCAGTGTTCTGCTTCTTGTAAATAGGTGCTATTTGTGGGACAAAGCAAGGGATGTTATAAGGAAAACCAAGCATTTTTAAAGCAAAAGAAGCAGTTATAAAGACAGCCTCTTGGAGACACAAAACTCCAGTCTGTGCACATGTATCCCTTGTGGCTGAGGTTGGGTGCCCGGGTGGGTCCCATCCAGATCCACTCTGACCTGGCTCAGGGACTGACACCCACCAGTGGCTTCAGCAATAGGAAGTCCCTTCCTGCCTTCCTCTGAGCCAGTGTCTGCTTCTACATCGTCCCCCTGTGGGCACAGAGCTTGTCCTGCTGTCTTGGGAAGCTTGAGCTGCAGCTAATGTTTCTGCCGAGGTTCTCCAGGTGTTTTGATGCCTGGTCACTGGCAGGGGCTCGGCACCCGGACCGGGATGACTCAGCAGGGACTGGGGGAGGATCTGTGGGAAGCAGCCCTTGATTTCACTCCAGGGGCATGTGCCTGTGTGTGCGTGTGTCTGCATGTGTGTGCACGTGTGTGTGCATGTATATCCATCCCTTCCAAGGCTGAGGACACTCATCTACCTGCATGGTTTCCTCTGCTGGGCAGGTTCTATAGGTCTCCAAGGGCTCCGAGGTGAAGTGGGACTCCCTGGTGTCAAAGGTGAGCTGGGGGAGGAGGTCTGGGGGGGACAGGGAGGCTCTGATGGATGTGACCCACAGCCCATGCAGGCTGATAGGTGCGAGAGGGGTAGGTGAGGTGAGGGTGGGGGCAGCCTGTCTTCAGAGTCAGACATTGCCCCTTCCTGGTTGTTCCCTGCAGGGCTCTTTACACCAAGGTGTCCACTTCTTTTTCAGGTGACAAAGGACCAGTGGGACCACCAGGACCCAAAGGTATGCTGCTTACTTGGTTATTGCCATGGTCTGCCTCACTCCTGGGAGCCCAGATGGGCCCTTCACCACAGGGTCCAAGGATGCACAGGGCTCTGGCTAAGAGCCAGAGGGACTCTGCGGGGGACCTAAGAGCTCATTCTAGTCTAACTTCTCAGGGCAATGGAGGCACAAAGAGGGGAAACAAGTGCCAATGTCACATGGTTGTGGTTAGTGGTCCTCGGGGCGGTGAGGATGCAGCCTTCCAAGGTGTCTGTCCTCTAGTCTGGGCCTCCCTGTGCCCATGGCATCCATTTGTGCAGCAGCCAGGGCCAGAGTCAGTGTGTGGGTGGGACGTGACCCTGCCAGAGATGGGCCATGGCGCTCCTCAGCTGCATGCAGTCTGCATTAATGCCGTGTTCTCACCAACGTCATACAGTGAGAACTGTCCCGCAGCCCAGGGGCCTGTTACCGCGTGAGATTGTTTTCCTTGCTCACAACCATTGCTTCCTCCTCCCCTCCCCTTGTTTGTTTTAGGTGACCAGGGGGAGAAAGGACCCCGAGGCCTTACAGGTGAGTCCTACACAGGAATCAACTTTAATCCATTCATGACTTTTTGTAAATCCATCAGTCACTGGAGGTGGGAAAAAATTCAGAAGTATGAGACAGAGTCTTGGTCTAAAAACCTTCGGGGCACTTGTGCCCTAGGAAAAGCACAAGACAAGAAAAAATAAAGCCCTGAGTGAATGATATGGAAGCATCCAAATATATAGTCCGAACAGTAAATGGGGTGAAATGGGGAGTTTAGGGTCATCTCTGATTTTTTTGGGGAATCCAGTTAGGAAAAATCAATCTCTTCCCAAAGCAACAGAAAGTTTGCACCACTTGTATCCTCTCAGGCACTGACCTCTTGCCAACTTGTGAGATTAAAAAGGAAATTGAGAGTAATATTGCTTTGACTACAAGGGCTAGCTTTCCGTTTCTAGGGAACCAAAACTCATACATACGCCCCTTCAGATCGGGCATGGTTTCTGGGTCAGCCCATGCCCACTGCCCAGGGTGGCCAGGTGGCCCTGACCCTGGAATCACAGCAGAAGCTGCCTCCCTGCCCGCCTCTGGGCCTGGTGGGGGCTGGGGAGGAGGTGGGGGCGGGCTACCATGATGAAGCACACAAAGCTTGCAAGTCCCACCAGCTAGCCCTTGGTCCTTTGCAGGCGAGCCTGGCATAAGAGGTCTGCCTGGTGCCGTGGGTGAGCCTGGGGCTAAAGGAGCGATGGGTAAGTGTCCCAAAGGAACAGGGGCAGTGGGTCTGCCCCACTCAAATGATCATCATGGCCCTAGAGAGATCCTTCTAGAGCTGTCTGCCTTGCTTTCTGGCCTGCCCACCTCTGGTAGAGTCTCCCTTTACAGGCTTTTTCTAGGTTGGGGCAGCCCTCCTGGGGCTCAGAGAGCTGCAGGTACCTTGGTGGGTTTCTCATGCTCTGGGAAGGACTTAGCAGGGCATGGCCCATTCACCCTGGAGCCTGCCTGTGGGCTCCCCTGGGTTGGGGGGCAGACAGTGTTGAGGTCCCTTGGAACCCGGGGTATTCCAGGCATCCCAGGGTGAGTCTCACAGCCAGACCCATGTTTTAACCCTCCGGCTGACCCTTACTGAGGTGCCTATTAGCCTGGCTGTGGAAGCCGACCAAAACCTCAGAGGGCCCAGGCATTCAGCGCCAAGCCCTGGAGGGATTTAAGCTGACCCCTTCGGATGTGACTTCTGCATTCTGATCGCTCTGATCCACTTGACCAGCTCTTAGTGAGGGCCGGCTACAAGCAGGACCCTGGGCTGGGCAAGTGAGGTCCTTTACCTCCCTTGAGGGCAGAGAAGACTTGCAGGAGGTGACATGAAAGATACAGAGTGCTGTGAGGATACAGTTGAAGGAGAGATTTCTTCCAACCAGAAGGACGGAGGAAGTGGTATTTCAGATGGTCCTGAGAAGTTAGGAAGATTTTAATCACAGCCAGTTTGGAAAATTCCATGCAGGGATGACATGAGTGAGAAGAGAAAGAGCAGACAGTCCCAGAAGGACACCACTTTGGGCAGAGGTTAGGATAATGCCTAGCGCAGAGGAGACAAGAACCTGGGAGACCTTGACTTCCAAGACCTCAAATAAACGAGACAAACATTGGTCATCTCGGCTCTTGCCATTCGATGGGGAATGACTGAGCAATTCCCAGCAGCAAAATAGACAATGGCTGGTTTAGGAGAAGGGGGCAGGGAGAACACTGGATCCCGAGGCCACGGCAAAGACAGGGCTTCTCCTGTGGCTGGCGGCTGCAGGAAGCTGCCTGGACCCCACGTGGGAGACAATGTGCTTCAAAGCCGCTGGGGCAGGAGAGGGAAGAGGCTCAGAAGTAGTTACAGGAGCCACTGACGGACTTTGCTTCTGCTTTACCAGGTCCCGCGGGCCCCGATGGACAACAAGGCGCAAGAGGTTGGTCACTGCTCTGCTGTCCTCAGCCCCACTGCCTGCCCTGCCTCCCACTCCATGCACTGCCCATGTCCCAGCATGTGGCCCTAGTTCTGCTCCCATCCTCTCCACCTGCCAGCAAGCCAGTTAGGAAACCGTCAGCCCAGATGCGCTGGCCAGTTCTGCTTTCCTAACTGGAAAACATTTCCGTGTTGGTCGTGCTCTCTCCAGGTGAACAAGGTCTCACAGGGATGCCTGGGATCCGTGGCCCGCCAGGACCTTCTGGAGACCCAGGGAAGCCAGGTAACAGCGAAGAAGAGGGAGCTACGCCCTGCTGGGTGTATGTGCCTGTGCGTGCAGCTGTGTGGGTGTGGGGTGCGGGTGTGTGTGCATGGTTGTGTGTACGTGCGTGTTTGCGTGCATGCACAAGTACACCCACACTGGCCTTACCCCTCTCCTCTGGCAGCTCAGCAGGGAACTGCCACACTGTTAAGTTGTGCTGTGTGCACAGTGGCTGTGGCCCCTGGTACATCTGAGTTACCAAGTCTGGCAATTTGGAAGAGAAAGATGAATAGCTGAAAGCAAGAAGTTCTAGAAAGGGGCAAGGAGTTCTAGAAAGGGGCAAGGACTCTCTTAAAATCACAGGGTTGGATGTCACCTCAGTATCTTGCTGCTCTGGGCCCTTTGCCTCCTGTCCTCCTCTCCTGGGGCTGTACCTGGACCCTCACCAATACCCACCAGTCCAAGGAGAGAGCCATGGTTAAAGTCTCCACCAAGGCCAAACAAGGGCAGATTTCTCAGGGCTGCAGGAAGAACAAACCAAAACCAGCCAAGAAATCTGAGCAGTCGAGGCAGGTGTCCTGGGGGCCTCTGAGAGCTGGGAGGCCTCTGCCTCCATGGCTGGCGCCAGATGGGAGCTCTAAGGGAATGTGCGAGCACCCTCGGTTCCGGGCTCCCCTCAGATTCTGAAAAGGTCCGTGAACCCACATAGTCTCAGAGCCACCGCCCATTGGAGCAGGGGGTGGCTTCACTGCACAGCCCAAAGAATTGTTCTCCGTCTGGAGCTGGGAGGAGCTTGGAGTCCAGCTGCCCAGTGTGAGGCGTGTCCTGTGCCCATGGTCCCTCCTCTGCCAGGACCACCTGCTGACCCTGCAGGGGAGGGTGTGGCTCCTCAGGGACGGCCCTCAGCCTCTCAGCTCTTCTCTCTTGTGTCTGATTTTCTGCAGGTCTCACTGGACCCCAGGGACCTCAGGGTGAGTCACTGGGTCCCTCCCACCTGCCACACCACCCACATCCTCCTGGGGTGGCCGTTGGCCAGTGCCGTTCCTACAGTCACTAAGAGTTTCTTCTCCCCCAACTCCCCGGCAAACACCCCTTTTCTCTGTGCCTTGAGAAGCACCTTAGGTTGGAAAATTAAGCACAGAACAATCGAGAACACGATTCTAGTAGAAATGAGGTTAGGCATGTGCCAATTCTGCCTGCGCCCTGTTCCCCTCTGGTGTAAGAATCCCGAGAGGAGGTCCCGAGCCTACCGGGGAGCTCCGTTAGCCCCACAGAGGCCCGTGGTCCCCACTGGCAGGGCAGGGCATGGGCGCTCACCCCCATTTGGGAGGGCCCAGTTTCTCTGGGACAGTCTCCGTGTTAAAGCCTGTCCTTAGTTGGAGCGGTGTGGCCCCATCTGGATTTGAGAAATTGTCATCACACCCAGCCCCTCATTTCCTGAAGGAAATTAGGCAAAGACTTAAAATGAAATCAAACTACAGACCCCCCACCGTTGGACACACAGTGGCATCCTTCAAATGCTCTCAGGGGACAGTTCAGTAGATCAAGGCAGGAAGGTGGTGCCGCACTGGGCGCAGACAACTGGACCCTACTCTGCAGGCCCCAGGGGGTTATGACCCGTGGGCCTGGAATCCCCCCAAAGCTGAGCCCCTGGGCTTCTGCCTGCCCCAAGCCCAGCTGTTACGCCACTTGCCAGAGAGGGACAAGGGCTCAGAGCAAGACGCTCTCCAGGGGCGGCCTGGGCTAAGGTGGAAGCAGAGCCGGCGGGTCTCAGGGTTTCATCCGGCAGCTGTGGCTGTGCTGGGTGACAGAGTAGAGGTCACCACCCACGGGGGTCTGGAATTGCCAGGCCTTCGTTATTCTGACTGACTTGTTTCGAATCACATCAGGACTTCCTGGTACCCCCGGCCGACCAGGGACTAAAGGTAAGTGAATTTCCAAATGAGGTATCCTTTCTTTTCACTAGCCGTTTTTGCAGGAAGGGAGGCACTGGCGGGAGGGAGGCCCCTCTCTGGCAGGAGCCTGGATCAACAGTGGCATCTAGTGGCTCCAGCAAAAGGCTGTGAGTTGGGTGCCGGGGAACTTGTGCTGAGTGACGGAAGCCTGAACCCCCAAACCCGACCTCACCCCACGCTCCTCCCCACCCCACACCCTGAGACCCGCTTTGATACCGGATGTCTCCAGGCCATTGTTGCAGGAGGACCTGGAAAGGTGCTGCCTTTCCATCCCCTGGCTTGCCTCTAAAACGCCCCCATTATAGCTTGGTCCCCACCAACGTGTCTCTTCTCCGGGGACAGGAACCCTTATCATTCACACAGGCCTTGATGTGACTGAGTACACCAGACCCTTCCTGAGAGGCGGCTGGAATATGGGCCGAGAGGGGTGCTAAGTGCTACTAAGAGGGCAAGTCCAAGTGCTAAGGGGAAATAATCCGTAGGGTGGTCTGGTGGGGCAGCGTGGTGACACTCTTGTCCAGTTCTGCCCCTCAGACCCTAACCCTGAGCAAGTCCAGGGATACGCAATGCTCAGGGATGGTCTTTCTCCTTCTGTCCCTGCAACCTCATGCTCCTGAACCCGACACACTGTGGAGCCATGCTCTGTCGTGAGCAGTCACTGCCACCCTCGATGGGACCCTAAAATAACTACCTTCCAGAAACTATTTCCAATGACCGGTTGGGCCAAGGAGTTCTTTAGGGATAAGTAAATGTAATTCCAAAATAATGATGACCGAGTTCATATATCCCAGGAGGAAAAATCTCTGCATCCATAAATCTAGTCATGGGTGGACGGTACCTTTAATAGAGTCTTGTGGGTTTGGGGATTCCTGAGGGTTCTCCAGGGCCCATGACTTCCTGTCCAAGGCAGACTTCAGACCCTCCCTGGACAATGTGCACAAGAATGGACGTTGTACCTAATGTTGGATTATGTCCAACAAGACAAACTCCAGGGCTTTCTCCTATCTTGGCCTTGACCTGGGACTGGAGGTAGTGATCAGAGACCACCCCTCTGCTGCTCCCAAGGGGAAATTCAGTATCATCCTTTCATCATGTGAATGATTTCTTTGCTCACAGACCTTGGGAAGTGAAAAAAGTGGCCCCTAAAGGATGATTTCCCTAAGCCAGTTCCAAATTGTTAGTTCTGAGAGAGGCATTCAGTGGTTGGTAAGTTTGGGAACGTGTGAGTCCAATGTCCTCTTTTCGGAAGTCCTCCATGCACATTTGCGTTTCCAATGCTCTGGCAGAAGACTGCTAACCTGCATATAACTCACCATTTCCCAGACTTACCAAGCACAGAGTGCCCTTTAAGTTCTGCACAGCCCCTACAACTGTCCCAAGGAACACTGTGGGAACCCTGCTCTACCTTGGGGCTCACTACTCCTGTCTCTTGACCTTCGGATGATTTTCCCACCTAGGGAAATTCCCAGGCAGAGGAGATGGAATGTGGGAGCATGAGAGGCTCTCAGGCTGGCCTTATTCTGGCCTCACTGAAAGGCAAACCCTCCCACATGCCCCAGTGCAGCCCCGGCTCTGGCAAAGATGGATGAGAAACCCATGCTTAATGCATCCTGCACGCTCGCCTGCAGTTCATTAAAATGCCTTTAGCCCGAGAGTGAGAGGCCCCGGGGGTGGGTCTCAAATGCAATCAGAAGCCTTGAAAATAATTTATGGAGCCACTAATTGATCCTGGGAACATCCACTCTCTTCCTCTTCCTCCCCTCCCAGGTGAACCGGGAGCGCCAGGCAAGATCGTGACTTCAGGTAGGCAGGTTTGGGAGGGACCCTCCTTGTGTCTTTCTCTCTGGCTGTGCCCTCCAAGAAGTGCCAGTCTGCAGGCGTGGTGCTCTGGACAGGATGTGGCTGTGAGCTCTTTGGATTAGCAGCGAGGGGAAGGGGGGAAGTTTAGCTGTGAGGAGAGGAAGAAACTCGAGCTTGCACAGCCCACAGCCTGGCTTGGGTCCCAGCACCTCTGAGCAAGAAGAACGGGGCTCAGTGTTCCACGTGCCTTCTGTTTGCAGAGGGGTCATCAACGCTCACTGTCCCAGGCCCCCCGGGACCTCCTGGAGCCATGGGACCCCCGGGACCTCCAGGTGCCCCAGGTCAGTCCATTCTTTTGCTTTGCCCCAAATCCGCAGCAGGCCTCGGCTGCATTGACTCTAGCCGTGTTTGCTCAAGTGCCAAAACCCAGGGCGGGAATGTGGGAGAGAGAGTAAAGAGTTTGGCCTGAGAAAAACAAACTCTTGTCATCTGAGAAAATGAGGTAGGTCAGTTACCCTACCTCACCATGGAGGAGGCCAACGCTGCCCTCAGATTCACAGGTAGGAAGGTGGAGGCTCACTGCCAGGAAGCAACCAGGCAAGGATTTGCCCCAGATGGTCCCAGAGCCTATGACCAGGCAGAACACTTGGGCCCTTTGTTTCCTCTTGGAAAACAATTTGATAATACGCATCAAGGGCAACAAAAATGCTAGGAATCTATTAGGAGAAAATATCCCCACATTGTCCAACAATGATGGGATGGTGACAAAAATATGAAGACTTCAGAAGAACGTTGTTAGGAGATAACAGTATCATTTAAAGAGCAGGGGACTCAATAGTGCCTGCTCTGAGGGTGCTAGTATATTTTTACAAGATACAAAAAACATGCTGGAAGGAAATAAGACAAAATATTCACAAGTTAAAGAATTACAGGCAATTTTTTTTTCTATTTTTCCAAAATGTCTGTTATTTTGTTTTATATATATATATATATCTTAATTATTTAAACTTTTTATATACAAATGAAGTACACAACTTAACACAAACAGTGTATGCACCAGCCTTCCCTGCTGATCAGTTCCAGTGAGAGGGAGGACACTGAGGGAACACAGAAGTCCCCAACCATTAAAGGACAACGCCAGAGAGGGCAGCCCTGCCCACCCACGGGTCCCAGGACCCATCAGAGATGTTCTCACCAAGCTGGACCCAGGGCTGCTCTCAAATTCAAATAAGCAAGTTGGCTTCCCTGGGCCACTGTTTCATGCCTTGTGAGGAATGATGTGTGTGCTCAGGCGACTGCCCTTTCTTCACTGGTTCCTGTGACCCTAGAGGTCTGACTTAGCCTTTTCTTCCCCAACCCCATTTCCAGGCCCTGCTGGCCCAGCTGGTCTCCCAGGACAGCAAGGTATGTCACATCCTGAAAGAACGCATGGCTCTGGGCTCAGCGAGGAGGACTTTCCTCCCCCCGGGATTGGGGGGGTGGACTGGGGCCCCTGTGTTTTAGATGGAGTGAGACCTGTGTTTTGGAAAGGGAGGCTGGGGTGGCCAGGGCTTTTCACCAGGAGCCTTGCAAGGCCTCAGCTGCCAGGGGAGACACTTCCCCTCTCCCACTCCCATGTTTCCCAGAAGGTCCTCGGGACAGGGAGATGGAGATTGAGGCTCCGTGGCCCCCTGGTCAGGGTCAAGCTACTTTCACAGGCCTCGGGCCTTTTGTGACAGACCTTGATAATCCTGCCATCATTCCGCTCTCCAGCGATTTATCCGAACGGCAAAACAGGCTTGGGAAGAGCAGGCCAAGTTCCTCCTGGGGGGCTCTGGCCACCGACTCGCCCGTGGTCAACGCCTGGGCCCCGCCCCCTCCGCTGAGCCCCGCCCCTCCCCTCGGCCCCGCCCCCCACAAGGCACCAGGCCGGCTCCTGAGGGGAAGCAGGAACCGGTTGCTGCAGGCAGCGCCCACCCCAACTCTGTGTCCTCCCGACAGGCCCGCGAGGGGAGCGAGGACTTGCCGGCGAATCGTTCCTGGCTAGTAGCAGCTCCATCTCCGAGGTCCTCTCCGCCCGTGAGTGGCACCATTCTCCCGGGCGGGTGGCGCTGGGGGGAGCGCACTCGGGGCCTGTGGCAGCGGCACCAGCGGGTCATCCCCGACGGGAGGGTGTGAGGATGAGCAGCCCTCCGAAAGTGAAGGCCGAAAGGAGCAGCAGGGTTTCATCTGGGGTGGGAGGGCGAGTGCTGAGCGTGGGGCAGCTGCGGAGGGCAGACTGGGCCTTGAAAGTGCGGGCCTGGCTGGCCTGCAGCCCTGGCTCAAAGAGAGCAGTGACAGGGGTCCGTGGGGACGGCTGACTCCCGGTCCTGCTCACAGAGCTGTTCAAAGAGCCCAGGTGGAGATGCGCTGGGTCTCCACCCGGACACCTGGAGTGCCAGAGGGCAAAGACGACAGCCTCACGTGGTCCCGCGCCTGCTGTGCGCTCTGGTGGTGTCGGGGCTTAGCATTCAGCGGTGTCTCACTGAGTCTTCACTTCACCCCTGCGATGTGGGACTCATTGCCCCTGGTTTACAGAGGCGGAAACTGAATCTGAAAGAGGTTAAGAACTTGCCCAAAGTCACCAGCTAGATGTGTCAGAGTCGGGGTTTGAACCCAGGCTCTCTGACACCCAAGCCCAGGTTCTTAGCCGTCATCCCATATGCCCTCATCAGCTGTCAGGGAGCTTGACTGCAGCCCCGCCCTGCCTCTGAGTGAGGGGCGGCCTTAGCAGATGGGGTGCTGGAGGGTCCCGTGCCACGACGCAGGGTGCCTGGGACGGTCAGACCTGCTGAGAGGTGGAAGTACAGCAGAGAACCGCCTCCTGACAGCTTTTGCTCATTTCTGTTTTCTTCTCTCTACAGAAGGTCTTGATTTACGAGGTCCCCCAGGCCCACCTGGGCCACGTGGGCCACCAGGTGAGCATCTCAGGGATCTTTGGAAGGTGGGGCGTCTTGGGGCACAGGGAACAGCACTTGGTGAGGAAGCCAAGGTCCTGCTCCCAGGTACAATGTCAGCTCCCTGAGCCCAGCGTCGCCTCTCCCACACTCTCTTCCGCAGGGCCTTCCATCCCAGGCCCACCAGGACCCCGAGGCCCACCAGGTGCGAGCGGGGCTCCCTGCTGGGAGGTGGGAGGGGGAGGTGAGGGGTGGGCAACAATGGGACCTGGAGCCCAGGCCACGCTGGGCTGACTCTTAGGAAAGAGTTTCCCCGCCCCGTCCTGCTGGGCAGAGGGTTCCTTGCCCTGCTCTTGGCACTAATAAGTTTCGGGGGTCCTCTTTTCTAGGGGAAGGCTTGCCAGGCCCACCGGGCCCACCAGGATCTTTCCTGACTGAGTCAGGTAATGTTGGGGAGTCAAATTACACCTGTTCTCCACCTCAGCCCTCGCCCTGGCACGGGCTGTGGTCGCAGATGTGGTCTTCCTGGCCTACTCACCATGCTCCCTTCTCCTGACTTTCCATGGGGGCACATGTGTGTGATCTTCCTGCTACCTGCTGCTCCCGGGGGAGTAAACCATGGCAACCCAACCACCCTGGCAGCCTGGCCTGAGGGAGGGAGCCAGCTCTGCGCTTGGGGAGTTTCTGGACTGACTGGGGAGACCTGGTTCCTGTTCTCTGGGAGCCCAGGTCTGATAAAGCAGACAGGACACATGCACATGAAATGAGATAAATGCTGGCAATGCAACATGGAAACTTACGGACATCACTGTAGAGCAAACAGTAGGCCAGAACTTGTCCCTAGAGGAATTCATCCATCTATTCATCCATCCACCCATCCATCCCTAACCATCCATCTAGTCATCTGTTCATTCATCCATCCACCCATTCATTTATTTTTATATCCAGCCTCCCAACCATCCAACCACCCATCCATCCACCCACTCAACAAGTACTGATTAAGCATCTACAGTGAGCCAAGTGCTGTGCTAGGTGCTGCTCACAAACATCACTGCATCCACACTCAAACTATTTCTTTCCTCTGCAGAAACCTTCTTCTCTGGCCCCCCAGGCCCACCTGGCCCTCCAGGCCCCAAGGGAGACCAAGGTGAGAAAGTATCTCAGGGAGCCCAGAAGCCACTGTGTCCCCCGCTCACCCACCTGTCAGCCAGGAGAGCTGGGATGAGGCTGATGAGCTGGGGCATTTCTTCCTCCTCCTGCCATGTCCCATTAGGGGCTCAGCAGCTGGAGCATGGGGTGGGGGTGGGGCACAGTGGTCAGAAACTCTGCACAGAATTCCTGCCCTGCATTGCCTGGTGGAAGGAGAGGCACAAGGAGCCCCTAGTACTGTGTCTGCTCCAGCACGGAGCCCCCGTCCCCTCCTCTGTGGGCCTGTGGAAGTCACAACTCCTGGTTAGTACCTGTCTCACGGTTCTCTGCTTCCTTCCCTCAGGTCCCCCAGGCCCCCGAGGACACCAAGGTACAGTAGAGCTGGCATCAAACAAAACCTGGGGGAGGAGTGGGGGGTGGCAAAAGTTGACCTTCGAAAAGCTTTGAGCTTATTGGAAATGCGTTTGGTCCAAATGAGCGTGGGGGGTCGGAGTGTGTCTCTGTGAGTGGTTGAATGTTTATGTGCCTGTGTGTGGTCGAGTGTGTGTGTATGTGTGTGTGTGCGTGGTTGAGTGTGTGTGTGTGTGTGTGTGTGTGTGTGGCTGTGTAGCAGCCCTAGGTACTGCCCAAAGGGCCACGCAGCCCCACCAGCCACGGATCTTGGCGAGTCTCTAGGGGTGGTGTTGGGGGCGGGTGAGGAAATTGAGACTGACTGTCCCTCTCTCGGTTCCTCAGGCGAACAGGGCCTCCCAGGGTTCTCGACTTCAGGTAAGGGCTGAGCCCCGCCCCGTTCTGGCTGCAGCCAGAGCCTCTCCCACCCTGGCTGACGGCTCTGTGTGTTGTTGGCTTCCAGGGTCCAGTTCTCTCGGACTCAACCTGCAGGGACCACCAGGTCCACCTGGCCCCCAGGGCCCCAAAGGGGACAAAGGTCAGTGAGGGAGCAGCCAGGAAGAGTCAGGGCAGGCCTGGCACCCAGAGCCCAGAGCCCGAGAAGGCAGCAGCGCTGTTGCTGCTGAAGGCTTGGGAGAGAGAAGAGGCTGGAGGAAGGAGAGGCCAGAGGGAGGGAGGGGCCAGCGTGTGGACACGCAGTCTCTGTGCACAGGGCTCTGTGGTGTCATTGCAGGAATGCGACCAGGAGTCGTGGGATGATTGTTGAGCCACACACTAATGAGTGTGGCTGGGCTTAACCAGGGAAGGCTTCCTGGAGGAGGTGATACAAACAGGGCTTCTTGTTTTGGATTCCAGGTGATCCTGGTGTCCCAGGAGCTCCTGGCATTGCTGGTGGTCCCTCTCAAGGTAAGAACCAAAGGTGACCAAAGTTCCTCTCCCCAGCTCTGCCCCTTTCAGATAGTGGCTGCCATAGGCACTCCTTTCCTCTCTTCTCAGGGACCCTTCTCTTTGCCATGGTCCCATATTTCCCCCTGAGAGAGACCATTCCTCCTCAGACTATGGAAGCAATGCCTGGGTCCCTGTGTGTCTGGTCCTGGGCTGGAGAAGCCAGCTCAGGCTGCTTTCTCTTTCCTGCAGGAGGGTCATCGAGCACCACGTACATGCAGGGCCCACCCGGCCCCCCAGGGCCGCCGGGGGCTCCAGGATCCATCAGCAGCTCTGGCCAGGAGATTCAGCAGTACATCTCTGAGTACATGCAGAGTGAGTGGCCGGCCACCCAGCCTTGTAGGCCTTGTAGGGCAGTGGGAGTATGTGAGTGAGTATGTGAGTGTGTGTGTGAGAGAGAGAGAGAGGGAGAGAGAGAGAGGAGGGGTGTGTGTGCGTGTATGTGTGTGTTGGGGAAACAGTCTGTGCAGCCAGGCCCGGGTCTTCTACCCCTGGAGCCAGGCCTGTAGACTGGGAGCCCCCAAATACCGGCCTCAAAGCCGCCCACCCAGCCTCGTCCTTACCCCCCACACACCGGGGAAGGGTGGCTGGCACACTCACACGCTCACCCGTGTGCGCACACACACAGTCACACACGTGCACTCTCCCACCTCATGCCTGCACGTGGATCATTTGTCAAATGGGTGGCTGAACCAGAGTCTTGTTGGACCACAGCCCCCACGGACCACCTGAACCTGACCCAGTACAGGCTTCTGCCTCAGTTTCTACATCTGTGACAAGGGGAAAGACAACAAGAAGAGTCTAGGCTCCCTGCTGGCCCTGCTTTGGGCCCGTGCATGGGGGGCCGGCCAGGCATTTCATCACGTGCTCCAGGTCACCTCTGTGGGGAGGACCTGTCCTCTTGGGGACAGGCTTGACTGTGCTTTATTCCTTTGTTGGCAGGTGACAGTATCAGATCTTACCTGTCTGGAGTTCAGGGTCCCCCAGGCCCACCTGGTCCCCCAGGGCCTGTCACCACCATCACAGGCGAGACTTTCAACTACTCGGAGCTGGCCAGCCAGGTCGTGAGCTACCTACAGAGTGAGCGTCTCCCACACCCTGGACGTGGGCACCTTCCTCCGCAGGGGCCACTTTTGCGTCCAGAGCCTCCTCTCTTGATTTGCTGCTCTCTTTGCCCTTCTCCTGAATATGATTTTTAATTCTGCATTCATAATAATCAGGCCACTGGGACACGGCTTCAGCAGGGCTTGTTCAGGTTAAGAACACATGGGAGAGCCGTGCTGAGTGAGCCTCCTGCACTTGGCTAACGTGCTCCTAACTGTGGCACATCTTACCTGTCATGAGGACAGAGCCTTCAGGTCAGCAGTATCTGGTAGGAGTTAGGCTAATGCATATTCTCGAAAACAAACTGCATTTTCTTACCAAAACAAACAACTTTTGACCTTTTCATGCTTTCAAAATAGCTTCATAATGCCCCCATTCATTTGTTTCCCCCAAAGAGAAATGGCTAGTTGACTGAGTCCTTCAGATTCTGGAATAAGGAGGGCTTTGCTCCAGTACCCGCTGCGCAGGTAACCTGGGGTTTTCTTCCTGGCAGCTTCAGGGTACAGCGTCAGCCGGTCCTCCACCTCCATCTCTTCTGAAGACATCCTGGCCGCGCTGCAGCGTGAGTGCCTGCGGTGGGCTCGAGGGTGGGACCATCTTTGTTCTCTGCTGACCTCACTTGTCAGGCTGCAAGTGGGAGGCAGTCCCCGGGGTGAGGAGCCACTTGGCTCTGATCTGCTGGCTGAGTCAGAAACTGACAGGAAAGGGGACAGCAAATCTCCCTGACCCTAATGCCAGGCAAGCAGGCTGTGCCCCTTCAGGAGCCTGGCCAGTGTGGGCCTGAGAACCCAGAACTCCCAAATGGCCCTTGGGAGCCAGTCTGTGCAGGGGGTAGGCTGGGACGCCTGCGGTCTGGGTGGGTCCATGCTAGTACATCCTCTCCTCTCCAGGGGATGACGTGCGCCAGTACCTACGTCAGCAGCTGATGGGGGCCAGTGGGGACGGGTCCCTCCTGTCTTTGGACTACACAGAGCTCAGCAGCCGCATTCTCAGCTACATGTCAAGTGAGTGTCTGCCGCCTGGCCTGCCGTCTGCAGGCAGGATGGGCAGGAGGGGCGGTCAGGAGGGGCCTGGGATGAGGACTCAGTGCTGGGCTTCGTTGAAGTGGCCCCATTGACCTGCCAGGCTCCAGACCAGCAAAGTGAGCGGCGTTCCAAGCTATTCAAACCTGTGACTCCAGAGCAGGTCAGGGAGCGTGGCGAACAAAGCCAAAACCAGTGTCTGGGGCTCTGACCTTCGTGGAGTCCACACGTGACTCTCTCGTGCACACACTTCCATGCACACACCCCCCCCACACTCACACACTCTCCTGTGCATGCAGCAGCAGGATGACGCGGATGGGCAGCCTTGACCTGCGCTGTTCTCGGCCCCTCCTCCCCCTGTGTCGTAGCTGAGATGGTGTCTCTGCAGTATTCCTCTCCACCTCTCTCTTCCCGCCACCCCCTCTCTGCCCCCTTCCGCAGACCCTACTTCCGTCCAGATCCCTCCCGTGTGTGACCTCCTCTCCGACAGGCTTCTGTCTGCCTTCCCCTGCCTGATCCGAATCCACCATAGCTTGGGATTCTCTCCCCAGGTTCTGGGATCAGCATCGGGCTCCCTGGGCCCCCCGGGCCCCCGGGCCCCCCTGGCCTGCCAGGAACATCCTATGAGGAGCTCCTCTCCTTGCTCCGAGGTGAGGCTGAGCAGGGGATGTCTGTCCAGGTGGTCGGGAGGAGGCAGAGCGCCTGGTGCAGGCCAGAACTGACTCCCTGCCCTCCCTGTGTCTCAGGGTCCGAATTCAGAGGCATCGTTGGACCCCCAGGACCCCCAGGGCCACCAGGGATCCCTGGCAATGTGTGGTCCAGCATCAGCATGGAGGACCTCTCATCTTACTTGCATAGTAGGGCGCTGGGGAGCGAGGATGAGGAGGGCAGAGGGCAGCCATGGAGAGTTAGATCAGTGCACCTCGCCAAGGGCTCCTGGAGGAGTGAGGAGAGACAGCACCCCCAAGTGAAGCCTAGCCTGCGATTAGGGCTAAACCGGGGCTCCACCTCCCAGTGACAGAAGGGCTGGGAGGAGGCGACAGGATTTGGGTTGAATGAGGCTCAGACTTGGGAGTGGGAGGGCCCAAGGGATGAGCCATTGCTGGAAGGTGCCAGCACGTGGGCCCCGCCCCTCACGGGGGGTGGGCAGCTTCAACGCCACCTTCCAAGAGGGACCCACATCGGGCCTGGGGCCCTGGCTGAGTTCAGCTCCCCCCGCAGCATGGCTCTGACCCTTCTTTCCCTTTCCTTGCTCAGCTGCCGGCTTGTCATCCATCCCAGGCCCTCCAGGCCCTCCTGGTCCCCCGGGTCCTCGAGGCCCCCAGGGTGTCTCGGGAGCTCTGGCAACCTATGCGACTGAGAACAGCGACAGCTTCCGGAGCGAGCTGATCAGCTACCTCACGAGTAGGTGCCCTGACATTGGGTCCCTCCATCCCTCCCCAGACCTCGCCCTTCCTGGTCGGTGGGGCAGCAAGGCGCTTGAAGGAACCGGGAGGCCTGGTGCAAGAGAGCCTGGGGTCGGCATAAGCCCGGTTTCTTGCTGACCAGCATTCTCCTGCGCGTGTGCGAGGGCCCTGACGTTCACTTCTGGTTGCTCAGAGGTGTTGAGACCCTGGGAGAGACCCTCTAACTCCCCAGTCTTTCTTTCCACCGAGATCTGAGCTCCCACTCACACAGCTCCCCACCTGGCAGGTCCTGACGTGCGCAGCTTCATTGTTGGCCCCCCAGGTCCCCCGGGGCCACAGGGACCACCAGGGGACAGCCGCCTCCTGTCCATGGATGACTTCTACCGTCGGATGAGCAGCTCCTCCTCACACAGCTTGTCCTCCAGCCGGGGCGGCTCCTACACCTCTTCCATGGGCCTGGGAGGAGCTGGGGGAGGCACCCTGGGCGAAGGGGCAGCCTTTGGTGGGGCCGGAGACGGAGGCTATGGGGCAGCGGCAGGAGGTGGCATGTATGGTGGTGAAGGTGGGCCATTCGCGGCTGGCTTCGCTGGAGGGCTGGATTACAATGAGCTGGCTGTTCGGGTGTCGGAGAGCCTGCAGCGTAAGTAGGGACGTTTCGGCCTGGGTGCTGGGGGGAGCATGTGGGCATTTCCAGAGACTGGCCCTCTCGTGTTTGGAGCACCCAGGCTGTGAAGACAGCAGTGCTGGAGTCAGATGGGCAGGGACTGAAGACAGGAGGCCCCATCCTAGTTCTCAGCCCACTCAGCTCAAAGGGCCCCTGTGCTGGAAACTAAGCTGCAAGGAACAGCACACAGGGGTCTCTGTGCTTTGCTTCCCCAACACCGAACCTGCCCTGGGTCTCAGAAGAGTCGTTAGGACCATGCTAGTCTTCTGGCGGGGCTGAGGGAAGGATGTCGGCTAAGAAGTCCTTTCGTTCTGTAGTTCATCAGCACAGTTACACGTGCCTTTGCCGAGGGCCCGCAGCGGGCAGACACCTGTGCCAGTCACATGGGCATACAAAGGAAGTGAGCAAGGCTGTTCCCTTGCTGGGAGTGTCACTACTCTGGGGGCACTGCCTACTGAAGAGGGTGCCGGGCAACCCCTGCTTCCTGCACCCACGCTCTGGTGTTTTACAGGTCAGGGCCTGCTGCAAGGGATGGCCTACACTGTCCAGGGCCCACCAGGCCAGCCTGGGCCCCAGGGGCCGCCTGGCATCAGCAAGGTCTTCTCTGCTTACAGCAACGTGACCTCGGACCTCATGGACTTCTTCCGAAGTAAGGGCATCCAGTTGCTCTCGCAGCATCTGACTCACCGCAGTCTCACACGGGGCCTGCTCCAGAGACAACAGTCTCAGGAAAAACTTCCAGTTATTAACACTTGAGATGCTGAAAACTGAATAAATTCCAAACTTTGTTTCCTCTTACAAGACCAAACGCCATCACTATCTATCTGTCTGTGTTACTTTGACCTCCCAAGCTTCAGGGTGACCTCTAGTCTAAGGCCAGTTTTTCTCTCCCTTGTAGCTTATGGAGCCATTCCAGGACCCCCTGGGCAGAAGGGAGAGGTGGGCTCCCCAGGACCCAAAGGTAAGTGGTGGCAGGAAGCCAGCCCCCACGATCCTACGTAACAGTGACCTCTTGCCGAAAAGCAGCTCCCTTGCTGGTGCTACCCTGGCTCCCTGGTCCTCAGTCCCCACACTTATGCATCACTTAGTCATGTCCCCGTCTGTCCTTCTAGGTGACAGGGGCCCTGCTGGACCACCAGGTCATCCTGGGCCACCCGGCCCTCGAGGGCACAAGGGAGAAAAAGGAGACAAAGGTAAGCCCTGGCTGCTGTGGGTCCTGAGTACTGCCAGGCAGGTGCTCTGTAGAAAAGCGAGTTATTTGTTCCAGAGCAAGCCTGAGAAATTCAGACAAATGCCAATCACTGAAGGCAGACGCTGCCAAGAACATAATTTGCATAACAATCACACTCAAAATGAGGGAGAAAGGAAGGACAGCGCCAAGGCAGGGAAGAAAAGGAGAACCCAGCTGGTGATGAAAGGGGGTGATGTAAATAAACTGAGTCTTTATAAAAGCTTTAACCTTTGAAACCATCTTTATAGGGGTCACAGTTGCAGTAATTGCCCAGGCTAAGGTCCCCACAGACCACAGATATTTTTAAACTTTCTACTCATCTTCTTTCAGGTGACCAAGTCTATGTTGGGCGGAGAAGGAGGAGGAGTATCGCCATCAAGCCATGAGCAAGCTTTGGTGGGACAACCCCCTGGACCAGTTCTCAATGCATATGACACTTAGGTCAAATGTCTCCAGAGGGCGAAAGCTGGAGTCTGTCAATGTCCTACTGAGACAGCATAGCCAAATAGTCACCTAGCAACACTTGTTTTAGTCTGAACAAAATATACATGTATAGAACTCAGTCAAAGATACACAATCTGAAACAGCTTCATTGGCTAGACTTTAAGAATAGTTGCAGTGTTTTAAAATGAGACTAGCTTCTCTTTTATCTAGACCTGAGCTCCCTGGCTTCTGTAATACTTAATACAAGCCCCAACCTAGGAGAGCCAGCTACATAAAAGTTGGCTCAGGAGTCTTAGAGCTTTGCCTAAATATGAGCCCAGAAGATGGAAGACGGGAATGGGGTACCTTCCTGGAGGTGACCCTTGATGGGGGTGTGTTCTGGTAACTGCTGCAAGGCTGTGCTGTCAGCTCCTTCCTCCCCTGTTCATTCTGCATTCTCTGGTCACAGAAAAGAGTTGGCTAAGAAGTGACTCTTGCAACTGAAAAACTTAAGAAATTCACTTCCCCTGCAGGAGGTGACAGGGTTTCTAATAGTTATCATAGTCTAGATGTATAGCATATTCCCACTTGCTTAGAAGTCTAATTGTAGCTATGATCTGTCCATAGGTCCATGCTAGAGTTCATAGATACGTTATACTGAACTAGGCCACGGCAAATAGGAAAAGGGTGAGGGGCAATGGGCAAGGAAGGGGGAGGGGACAGAATACCTGATGCTGGGGACAGATGGCTTCGAGATGTCACCCTCTGTTCTGCACTCAGGAAATGGCATGCGGGACTGGGCACAGTTGGTTTTTAAGCACTTTTCAATGTCTAAAAACATTTGTAGGTGGTCTATAAGACAGTCATTTCAATTGTAAAATTGCCAATTAAAGTTTTTTTTTTCTTTTTTAATATCATGGTTAATATGATTCATCTGATCAAATGTTAAAAAAAATTCTGGGTTAACAGGGTCTAACACTATTACAAACACAAGAAAAAAAAAAACTGGTTGTATTTTGGGACACAGCTTCTGGCATTTCATTTAATCACTGAGATGTTTAAAGACAGACCTTTGTCTGCAACTATTAATCTGGGCATATTCCAAAGCATATGAAGGTCTTCCCTAAGCATGAGTTACTAATATTTGAAATAAACACATATGCAACAAATGAGTAATAAGATTATTTGCGATTAATGTAATGCTTTACCCTGGGGCAAATTATGACTGTAAGGTAATATATGGAATATCAAAACTCCTATTAAAGAAAAATGTACAAATATCAAATGCCCCCAAGAAATTCACAGTAAAATCAGACACTCAAATTCAGAAGAGACTATACTTGGTCAACTTTTGAATTTACAACAAATTGTGACCTCTCAATTACTGGATAATTTTAAATGGGATTAAATTAAATCTAATTCTAAAAGACTGTGATGTTTGTTTTCCATATGGTCTCTCCTGAGCATCCCACATATTATCCTAGAAAAAACACATCATTTAGTTCCACTGTGTCAAACAATTGCTAACAGCAAAACCCAGTCAAGCACCCAACACGACATGGTCTTTTTGTTTCCTTTATTATATCCTGATAGCTACCTGCTGTGAATGTGGGAATTTTAAAAATAAGAATTTCAAATAAGTTTAGTTTTACTCTAATGAAAACTTACTATTGTATATAACAAATGTGATGTGCCTTTTTAATAATTTTTTCAAATGAACTTATCAGTTTTACCCAAAGGCTGAGTTTAATTTTACATTTTAATAGCTTTGACTCTTGTTAAAAGTAGCTTCAGGGGCTTAAGTATTATATCCCCCTTAATAATGATTCCTATCTTGATTAATCAGACTTAAGAGTTTTTCCCTTGTTACTAGATTTACCTTAATAAGATATCCAAAAATCTTCAAGTGAAATAGTATAAAACTCCAAACTTGCTACCTTCTCCGGACAAAACCCAGAAAGAGGATGAGCAGATATGAGATATGTCCCCAGCTAGACAGCAATGGATCTGAGGCTCTTTTGTTTAAAAAAAAAAAAAGTCAAGAATGAGCTCAATAGTGCATGATGCTCCTTGATTAGAAAATGACGTGCTATGCCTCCCTCCAGCCAAGCTGAACACTTGCCAAGTGATGCTGCCTAGTGTCTACTAAATCCTGCACGAACTTATCAATGACAAAAAGAGGTTATTTTATAGAAGGGAGGTCATATGATTTGTGAAATATTTGGTGAGAAAAATAATCCATCCCAAGGGGGGAAAAAGGAAATATATATACATATGTTGACAGAAATATTTTAAGCACCTCTCAAAGGAAGAGTTGGCATGCTGAAAGACACACATTTGTGTGTGTGTATGTGCATGGGGTGTGGACTACAGATGGCTAGGAATGCTAATAAGTCTGGAAGGGTCAGAAGACTTGGAGGACTGCAAGTTTTAAAATATAACTGGGACCAAAAAACCTGCAAAGTGTTCTCATGAAGGACAATCTAGTTTCAAAGATTCTCAATAAAAGACTGCTTCCCAAAATAGATTAAGAAATAACTTTATTTTTTGTGTGTCAATCTCATGATTGAAAAGACATGTTGCTCTCAAATAGACAAGAGGCATAATCTGAAACAAAATTCTTTCTGAAAATTTAGCTTATGAACTCATTACACTGCAAATCAGAGAAGGATCACAAAAAGCTGCAGCCAACATTTAAAACTGGTAAAACACTCTATCCCAGGCTTAGTAGCAGAAATTTTAAAGCTTTATCAAAACCACGTCAGCCACAGAATAGCAACAATAGAGGCATTAACTGTCGTGCCTTCAACTTAAGAAAAGCGTTTAAAATATCATCCCATTTCCTATAAAAAAATCATTTCCCAGAAAAGAATTGATTTATTTAATCAAAAGACTATTAGAACTGGAACACTCTTCTTCCACTTCAGTCTAGGTTTTCCTTTAATCAACATCTCTAGCTAATACTTTGACAGAATGTGGCTTCTCAGAAGTCTGTCATTTAAGCACAGTGTGGAATGGGAAAAAGTGTGTAGTTACAAGGAAACTAGAAGAGTACAAAAAATAGTCACTTCTGAAACTCACTGATGCTCAAGAAATCAGAGACCCTCTATTAAACTGGGTCTCATATGCCTGAGAGCTTTGTGCTTGAGGAAATACTACTTAGAGGTAGCTCTGGTTCTGGTTTATATTTAATTACAATTTGCTGTATCCTGTCACAGGAAAGTTCTAATATTTTCAGCAAAGTAAAAGCACTCTAAATTTCCTCCTTACCCACCCTATAGCTTCCCCATAGAGAAGGGTAAGAAAAAGCTTAATGTGACTCCACATAAAATAGCAGCTAATTCAGCAATTCATACCCTATGGTTGACAGGACTAGGAAAGGCAGCCTGGTGCCCCAAGCTCTAGGAGCTGGACCTACAGAAGTGTGGAGGTCTGGCGTGTTCACAAGCACTCAGGAAAAAGAGGAGAGGGGACTGATTAGGGTGCACGTATGGAGAAGTTCTTTTATGCATTTCATGGCACATTCTGCCACAGCAACAAAACAACCAAATCAGGAAGAAATTTGACTGTACTCTTAGATTTCAAAGAAGTCTGTGCCCCTCACCCACTCCCTACCTACACTTCATGCAAGAAAGAATGATCACTATTATCTATTTGAATATAGGGCCTAACAAGAGGTGGGCCAATATGGGTACAAATAGTATATTCTATAACAAAACACTTTTTGAAAAAATTTATGTAACTTTAAGTATGAAAATGAATGCGTACCCTCTACATAGGTATCATTGTATAGTCTTGCACCCATATGAATATGGTCATGTTTGAAAGAGAACTCAAGCACAAACACTGAATCCAAAAGGCAGTTTTAAGGGAGATGCGAGTCGCTAATAACTTTACCCAGAGCATCAATCATGCCACTCTGAGCCTCTCGCCTTGAGTCAATACTCTGAATGTCATACTGAAAGGAAAATAATCAAATATTCAGACCAAATTAATTAGGCACCACAAACTTTAGCACACAGGGTATCATTTCAATGATACTGAAAAAATATCCACTGTCTAAAGTATTCATTTTTAAAAAGTTAATAAACTGACAATTTCAAAGGAGAAAGTGGTTGAGAACCTTCCTCCCCACTCCGCTTTCAAATAAATCATTAAATACACTGGGCAACATTATACTGTCATTTTTATCATAACAATATAAACAATTTCCATCATCCTGAATATTACTTTATAAAGATATATATTTCAAAAGGCTTTAAAAACATCTTTCAACCCAGCATTTGAGAATAAAGCGTTAAAAGAGTTTTGTATACAGTAACACATTCATGTGATAAGTGTATGAATTTACAACCATACATAATATATATATGTATATATATTTATATAAAAAACAAACTTGGCCAGAAGTTAAGGCTACCTACAAAGTTGTCCAAGTAAATTATGCTTGTCAAAACAATTACAAAATTAAAATCGCACATGCATTTTTAAATCACCTAAACCACTGACAAAATAAGGTTCAGCATTTAAAGTTTTCAAATTAACTGCAAGAAAGTGCTACAGACATTTACATTTTCTTAGTATAAATCAGTGTTCCCACAAAGTTGCGTTTAAATTTTTCACCAGCCTCAAAAGTAATACAACTAAAAACAAACTTTTATAATTTGGTACCTAGCACTCTTAGGAGAGAATAGGTTGTAAATGGCAGGCAACAAGCATCATTTACAAATGTGCTGTCTCACACATCAAAGTCCAGTTCATAATACTGTTTTGACCTGACACATGGTTGAAATTCTAAGCCTCAAAAGGGACTAAGAGAGAACATTTCATTAATAATTACACATATCAGCAACCACATGATAAAGGTTTCCCACTCAAAGTAAATAATTTAAATATGGAACAAAATAAAACCAAAATGTAAGTAGCCTCATTTCAAAACAAAAGTCATTTCTGGCATTTGCCTAAATATTTAAATCCTTTTTAAAAAACGTATTCTGAGCAAATGCTTTTTAAGATTAATTTCAGAAAATATATTTATAAATATAATTCAGAGCCTGCAAGCTTCTCACAGAGTTTTAAATGAACAGAATTCACTAAGATGGAGGGAAGTCATTTAACTCATGTATTATTTTAGAAAATAAACTGAGACGGCTAAATCTATATTACTTTTAATTTGGTGTTTTACATTTCCAATTTGCACATCTAAAAGCTACTTTTTTTGTCTTTCCAAACTTTGTACAACATACATTTTAGGATGAAAATTGCCATCAAATGGTAATAGGAGCAAGATTTTTAACACAATAATGTTTAATGCTAAGGATGTTATATTATCCCCGTTGATCAAAAAGAAAATCCTATTTTAGACTTGATTAAAATTTAGTGTTTTAGGCACTATCTTAATAAAACTAGCACCCTCAATTATTAGCTCATGCCTAAATAGGTAATTACTTTCAACAAATTACTGAAATAATTTCTCTCTTTTAAAAGAGTTTGTTCCTATTTAAAGACAAAATATATTTATTCACTGAATCAATAGAACATTTTGAGCAACTCATAGCTTTTTCATGAGAGCTGATTCACCAAAAGAAAATCATTTCAACCCTCTACAGCAGAGCTCAGCTATAGAATTTAGGCATCATTGAGAAGTTAGGGCAGGTAAAAAGACATTTATTAATACTTAGTGATGTAACAGTTTTCTTTAAATAACTTTAAACATTATTTCTCTTAACAATTTTTCAGGTAACAGTGTCTAAATACAATTTTTAAGATTAATATACAAAATCACCTTAGGGAATTACTGCAAGATGCTACTTTGCCAACATGGCCCAGCATCTGTCTTAAGTTTGTTTTCCTTTCATCTTTGCTTTAAAAAAAACCCCCAAAAACAAAAAAACAAAAAAACACCTAGAAGGTGAGGCAGGTGATTGTCTTCGTGAGCTATCTGATATAGACTGTGGCAGAAGATGAAGAGAATAGAATGACATATTTAAAAAGCCAAACCCAAGCACAGAATGCTTCCCATGTTATGATCCAGTGGAATGCAAGCTAGGAATAGGATAGAATTTGGAAATACGGCTCTGTGTTGATGGGTTAAGGCATTCAGACTCCCCAGTCATTTTAAAGAACACTTCCTGTTCTTGCAGTTTCCTGGCAAACTCTTCTTCCAGTGTCTTAAAAAGAAAGGAAAAATAAAATTGTTATGTGCTGGTATTACATACAGAATTTATGCTGACAGCCAAGATAAAATGACTTGTCTAAAACACTTTCTCTGTATATTATCCCAAAGAAGACATGACTGCTCAATAGTTAAGATCATAAGCTTTGCACAGCCCTATTCAAGTCCAGCTCAGCCATATGAATGGATAACTTGGGTCCATTACTTAACTTCTTTGTTTTTTTTTTTTTTTTTTTAGACAGAGTCTCATAGTTAAGATCATAAGCTTTGCACAGCCCTATTCAAGTCCAGCTCAGCCATATGAATGGATAACTTGGGTCCATTACTTAACTTCTTTGTTTTTTTTTTTTTTTTTGAGACAGAGTCTCATTGTGTTGCCCGGGCTAGAGTGCCATGGCATCATCCTAGCTCACAGCAACCTCAAACTCTTGGGCTCAAGCCATCCTCCTGCCTCAGCCTCTCGAGTAGCTGGGACTACAGGCATGTGCCACCATGTCCGGCTAATTTTTTCTATATATTTTTAGTTGTCCAATTAATTTCTTTCTAATTTTAGTAGAGACAGGGTCTCGCTCTTGCTCAGGCTGGTTTCGAACTCTTGAGCTCAAACAATCCGCCCACCTCGGCCTCCCAGAGAGCTAGGATTACAGGTGTGAGCCACCGCGCCCGGCCTTTAACTTCTTTGTGTTAGAGAATCATTTAATTCCTCTGCTGTAAAATAGGAATAACACCACCTACCTCGCTGATTTGCTATGTGAAGATTAAATGTGATAATGATGCACTTAATACATACAATGCACTCCAATAAATGGCACCTATTATTATCTGTTTCTTCCATGTGGCATTTAAGCTCTTTCTACTTTTTATTTTAGTTACTGATGTGCCTGTGTTTTCTTCCACACTAGACTATAAGCGGTTTAAAGGTAGAACCTAAACAAGATTCACCTTTACATCTCCATAACAGAAAGCAAAAATCGTTAAGTGCTTGATAAATATCTGAGACATTGTTGTGAACTGAATGTCTGTGTACCCCCAAAATTCATATATCAAAACCTAATCCCTAAAGTGATGGTATTAGGAGATGGAGCCTTTGGGGAGGTGATTAGGTCATGAGAGTGGAGCCCTCAGAAATGGGATTAGTGCCCTCATAAGGGTCTGAAGAGAAAGTTCTTTCTTCACAGTGAGAACACAGTGAGAAGTCAGCAGTCTGTAACCCAGAAGAGGGTCCTCACAGAATCTGATCATGTGAGCACCCTGATCTCAGACTTCCCAGCCTCCTGTTTGTGGTATTTTGTTATAGGTATCAATCACTTGTGGACAAGTGATTCAGGGATAAGTGCTGTTTGTAGGTACAAAGCATAGGAAAAGATGGAAGATACAGAAAGGTTTCTCAGAAGAGGTGAAACATGAGCTTAGTCTTGAAGGAAAGATAAGAATTTGACAGGCAGGATGGGGAAGGCATGCTAGAGAGAGGGAGCTGAAACCCTGGCACAAAGGCAGGAAACCAAGGAGTTTGTGTGAGGAATGGTGACTACACCCAATGATGGAATATGGACTAGAAACAAAGTGGCTAGTGGGAGATAACGCTAGAAAGGGTGATGTGACCCAAGTGGGGTACTATGAAGACTTCAAAGACAAATTAAGGGATTAATGTTTTATTCTGATGGAACTGAAGATTTATCAACACCACTTTGACAGTATCAGAGATGTTCTTGTGGATAAACACTCTGATGATGGCAGGCAAGTGGGAAGAATGGGAAGGGAACTAGAAACCAGAGGTCCCATTAGGACATTACTGAACAATTTAAGCAAGTAGTAGGATAGCAGTGGGAAAGAGAGAAAACATTATGAAAAGAGAGTCAAAATTAACTGAATACAGGGTGTGACAGAAATGAAAAATAATTCTGATTTCTAGCCTAGATATCAATTAAAAGAATAGGAATATAGGGAAGAATACTTGATAGTGAGTGGGAATGCAGGGAGCGGGGAGAGGTGAGACAGAAGAAGGGAAAAAGAATGTTGAGTTTGGTTGTATCTCCACTAAGTTCACATTCTTTAGTCAACACTCATGTACTGATCATGTACAATGTGCCAGGAACTGTTCTAGAAGCTGGATATATGTAACAGTGAACAAGAAATAATGTTCCTGCTTCTAAGGAGTTCCTCTTCTCATGAGAGAAGACAATAAAGAAATGTGTCTGGTGGCGATGAGTGTTATAAAGAAAAACAAAGAAAGAAGAGCAGATACAGTATGCTCGCTTGAGGTGTGTATGGGGGCTATTTTATGTACAGTGATCAAAAAAGGAACCACTGATGAAATAATATTTGAACACACAGATGTCTGAATGAAATGAAGAGGAATCTAACACCCAGATGGAAAATGGGAGCTTAGAGCTCAAACTGATACATAAACAACAATACCAACAGCAACCATTCAGGTTCTAGATAAGTGCTATAAACACATCACTTTTTTAAACTTTCTTAACTACTCCACTGTGTAGTTAGTATCATCCTCATTTCACAAATGAGGATAAGTGGACCTAGAAATGGTAAGTGACAAAATTAATCAGTATCAGCACTGAGATTTGAATCCACATCTGTATGATTTAGAGTTTGTGCTCTATACAACCCCTACTATTCAAGTTTGGGAATTGTCCATAAATATGCAACAGCTGGATTATCAAGGTAAAGAACAGAACTAAAGGTGCAAAACTAGGAAATGCCCACATTTTAGGAAGACAAAGAAAAGATGATAAAGAGCACAGAGAATAAGTGGAGTTATGTCACAAAAGCCAGGTGAGAAGAAAATTTTAAGAAAACAAAGACTTTTAATGAGAACATTTAGATAAGTCCGTGGGATGTGGTTATTAGCTACTCATTTATGACCACTGTCAACAAGTTCAATCGGGGAGTTTGGGGTGGAAGCTCGACTACAAAGAGTTAAAAAGAGAAACTGGGGAAAGGGACTTTTCACTGCTTACCATTCCGTACCTTCTGAATTCTGGACTACATGAATGTATTACCTACTCAAAAAATTTAACAATAAGTAAAACTGAAATTAAAAAGCCACACTATCAACTGACTTAGTCATTTCACTTTCTCTAGAAACCTCTGGCACACAGTAGAGGCTAAATACATATTTCCCTCATTGATTGGATGGATGGAAGAAAGGAATGGTTGAAATGTATAGCAGGCAGGAAGCCCAAAAGGAAATGAAAGTTTAGGTTTGAGGTTCAGCAAAGGGATAGGGATCATATAATGATAGAAAAAACAACACTGAAATGGTTAATCAATAAGACCAGGCTAGCATGGAGTCAAGTACAAACAAGGAAAAGGAGAGAGGGAGAGAGAGAGAGAGAGAGAGACAGAGAGAGAGAGACAGAGAGAGAGAGACAGAGAGAGAGAAACCATCCCTATTTTACTGGATTTCACATTTACACAGCATACCAGGGCCTTGTAATATGGCTCTAGTTGACCTTGTCTGGACTTTGCTGTCATCACTGCCTTTCTTCCCTCCATAATGCCTACGCACAGGCACACACACCCCTAATGTTCCAATGATAGGGATCTATTTGTAATTATCTGTATGCATCATTTTCACTCATCCTCTTCTCTCTACTTAAATTACCCAATTCCACCCCAATCTGTCCATCCACCTAAGCAAGCTCTTACTCATCCTTGAAGCCTCACTTGGCTTACAAGGCATCTCCTCTCTAAGGCCTTCCCCTGACTTTCTCAGACAGTTCTACACTTCCTTTGCTTAGAAATGCTGCTCCTTTCCCCTGTTATCTTGTACTTACCTCCTTTAAGAGCAATGATCCTACCAATTTGTAACTGCTTGTCATTAGATTCTGAACCTTTTGGAGATAAGGGCTTTGTCTTTTCATCTCTATGTCCTGCCCTGGACTCTGTACCTGACACACACTAGGTAAAGAGCCAATAGCTGGGTGGATGGATGAGTGCAAACATTACCAATTTAATTAAAGCTTTTAAAATTACCTTTTTCCTAGGTCTCAATTTCTCTCTCCACTCCTTTAATTCTTGGCTGTGTTCCTCATCTAACTCCTTTAGTTTCTGAGTCTCATGCTCAACCAAAAGGTGGCATTTTTCATTCTGAAAACAAAGTTTGGTTTTAAAAAAATTTCGATCAACGAAGCAATTTTTCACAAATACAATAACTTCCAAAATAATAAATTATTCATCAAACATCATGCTATTACTGAGATTTAAGTTTTTCTCTAAAAACCAAGGGCCAAGAATTATGAAATCAGTCATAGCTTCTTTTTCACAAGTTTAGAAGCTAGATCTGTTGTTATATACCATATAAAAACAACTTAGAAAGAATTAGTTTGAGCCTTTGTTTTTCCTAAGAAAGTTTGCTTATGCATAAAACTGACATTTCAGAAGGCAGCTTGCATACATTTCACCCACTGGTACCACAATGGGGGATCAAAACTATTCTACTCTAGTAAGTTAAGCAAATACATAAAGTATGCACATCATATACACTACTTTGTAATTTTAAACATTTTAGGTTATAAACTAGATGGGTTGCACACTCCAGGTATGGTCCAAAATCAGCCCTCTCTAAAGTAACCTATACATTTCTTAGGAGAAAAATTCCCTTATATTTAACATCACTTTTTTCAAAAACCTAGAAGAAAATCAACTATCTCCCTCTAAATGGAAGAGAAATTTTAAATTCAGAATCTGACCAAAAGAATTTAGAATCTGACAACAAAACTATTTATCTCATTTTGAAAACTTTGTACATCTTCTTGCAAAATATACTAAAAACAATACTCAATACCGCTTTTGAAAGACAATTTCCTAGGTTATAATTTAGCCTCATGTTTACATTAATCATGGTTATATAAAATCTAAACAAGTGCCTATGATACTAAACCGATCTTCATGTGGAGCTACACAAAAAACACAATCTTTAAATCCTAGTATTTTCGTAAGTAACACGCAGCAGTTTGTTTTGGCTATTATTTTCTCAAAACCAGATACTTGTGCTGCCCATGTACTACAAGTGTGGTTGTCATGCTTCTGTATCTAACCTGCAGCTGATGCAGTTCTCGAACATTGGCTTCACATTGCAACTGAAGATCCCGCATTTGATTTTCATGTTTCTGATGCTGAGCCATTCTCTCATTTTTCTGCCTCTTTTCTTCTTGTGCAGCAAACTATAAACAAGGAAAAACAAAAAGATAAATTATAGTTAACAGGCAATGTAATTTCTACATATTCTGAAGATGTAAAAGAATTTAACGAAACAAAGTAAAATAAACTAAAGCTACAAGTAATAATATGCTGTGACTCAAACCTGGAGTCTACATCATGGCAGGAGGGGAGAACTTCTGATGAAAACCTCGATCCTCCTATCTGCTTAGTGTTCTGAGTTAATCTGTGTGTGTGACTATGACTGTAGAAGTATCATAGTGAGGCCATACATTTTGACTGCAAAAGTTGTCCAAGTCATCTCATTCCCAGGGCTGGTCTTAGGACCAGTCTAGCCAAGGATCTGGTGTGAGGCATGGGAGGGAGGGCTTTGCCCTCTGTGACCACCACCCTGGGAAGACTAAGTTGATACATGTCATGTATCTAGCCCCAGCCCACAGAGTTAAAGTGAAAATCAACAAACCCAAAGTGGTTCTAAATGTTTATAACACAATTATGCGGCACTTCTAAAAATCACATGAATTTTGTAAACCTAAAAGAAGAGAATAATTTGTATATTTACCTGTTTAATTTTGTCACGGTCCTGATCTGGCGTAGCTGTTGAGTTAATTCTCAAACTTTTCTTAAACATGGCCATTCGGGTCTTAGCTTCACTGCGCTGAATCTTGGGTAATCTCGCTCTTTCTTGAGTCTGTCTGTTTTTCAATTCCTCGATAAGTCGTTGATTGTAACGCTGCATTTGTTCTGTTTCCTAAGAAGGTTTTAAATAGAATCCAGTGATGTATTAATAGATATAATTTAATATTCAGTACCCACATGTATATTCAAACATGTCATTTTATTGTTGTTTCCCATAATTACTCTCCCTTGTTGCATAGTGACCAGAAAAATATTAGGCAAAAAATAATTTATAAGAAAATAAAGTTACTAGTGATACAAGTCTTATATTGAAACTCTGTTTTACTAAGTACAGGAAGTCCAAATTTTTAAGATACTTGAAGCACAAATGTAGCCAAAATAGCTCTTTGGAAGAGAAGATGAAAATTACAATGTGTAAGAGGTCTTTAAGCACTGTAATTAGTTACCTTCCTTGTTAATTTGTAGAAAAGAAGTTTGCAATCACGATCAAGATACAATTAATTACTCCAAACTTCATCAAAGAAATTTTAGGATAAAATAAAGGAAATCTAAAATTCATTCTTTAAGAAAATAAGCTTCGGCGGGGGAAGAAGGGCAAGGGCAACGTTATCTAAACATTTGTACCCCCATAATACGCAGAAATAAAAAAAAAAAAAGAAAATAAGCTTCAAAACTAAATAGGTTTATAACTTTAAAATGAATAAAAAAGAAATTTTCTTTTCACTAACCTTCTCATGGCGCTTAAGTAGCTGATGTCTTTGCATGAAATATTGATCTTTAAGTTGCTGTTTGAGCAGTTGGTGTTTTTCTTGTAAGTGCCGTTCTTCAAGCTCCCAAATTGCAGCTTCTCGAGCTAGAAGACAGCAGTTTTCAAAATGTCACTGTGCTCTCTTTACTGATGTACTTTGCTCTTCATTTTAATATTTACATAAGTGTTCTATATACACTAACTTATACACATATATTGACATTCTGAGCTATAAGTAAAATTTTACCAACATAAAGATAACATCTATTCCTCTTTCCATTTTGTTCTAATGGCCTATAAACAGAGAATGTCCTACCCTGAGCCAAAATTCCATTTAATCATAATAACAAAGAAAAAAAATCTAAGCTAATTTTTTTAGGGGAAATAAGTACTTAAAATTCCATTCCATTATGTAGTCATTAAGTATACCAACAATTATAAGGCATACTGAATACACAAAGTTAATGAGATATATTTCTAGCACCATCTGGACAAGAGAAATTTTATGGATTAAATGTCTATGTTCATTTCTGTCATAAAGGAATTCTATATTTTGCAGTGTTTCTAAATTTTAAAAGATTCTCTTCTCTTATTTACCACAACTTTATCTTTGCCTTTACCACCCTAGCAAAGAAAAGCATTCAAATAATTTCCAAGGTATATCTCTGCAATATTTTTGAGATCTCACTTCATATACACATTCATGCTGCAGAACTGAATATACCTCTCATGAGCTGTTGTTTGTTATTCAGGCACTCTCTCTCAATATTGGCCAACTCTGCCTTCTGTTGTTGGATGATCTTTTTCAGAGAGCCATCTAATTCTTGTTGTTGCTTCTGAACAAACTCTTGTTCCTATTAGACACAGTTAACCATCAATTAAGTAAGTATCTAATGAACTTAACATCCACTTATCTATATAACTGTATTCATTAGTGGTTAGTAAGATTTCCAAACCAAGTGTGCAAAGTTAGCTGGATTTAAAAATCACCAAAATTATATAGTACATATATAATATAAATGTATTAGTCACCCAACTCAATCCTCCAAAAAAGTATTAGAACACATAATATTCAAAACTCATTACTAAGAATGATACATACAAAAGAAGTTTATAGCCTATTCATAATTAAAATATCCTATTACACTAGCATTTTTGGGAAAATAGTAAATTTACAGCTTCTAAAAGTTGACTATTAACTCCACTATGGTTTGACTAAAACAAGAATAAACAAGAAATGTCCTTTAGGGAGAAAGGTAATGAAGAGCTAATAAGTAAAACAGATATCAGAATTTTAGGATATAAATAGGAAGAACTATCAGAGCTACACTAACAGAGGAAAAAAAGTTTCTGTATCTACAGCCTATGCCTATAAAGAAGAAAAGCTTGAGGATCTAAGAAGAAATAATGCATTGCTAGAGAAATGTAAACTAGAAACAAAAAAGTGAGTTACATATTATAAAGCTATAAACAAAATTCCTATAATCACAGAATTCTATCAACATGTTTGGGATTCACGCATTCATTCAACAAATATTTATGAAGTACATATTATCTGCCCAAATGCCAAAACTACTTATAAAAAAATCCTTCAATTATTGTGTAAGGAAAAATTTAAAGTGACTTATGGTCTTTCTGCTAGAATCACACATTTACAGAAGAAAAGGAAGAATATTCAAATTGAAGAAATGTAAATTTGCATGTCTATCCTTCTTTCGGCAGTTATAAGCCAGTTGATTAGCTCAAGGGAGATTCAGGTCAATTTTTGTGTGGATTTAGAATTTAGAATTGAAACAACCATAAACCCTCCTTTTACAAATCCAAGAGAAGATCAACCCCAAGATCCACTTTAGAACTATTCTTTAGGCGTTGGACACAGTCTGACAAGGTCTGGATCACCACCAGTCTGTTGTTCCTCAGTGCACAAAGAAGTCTCGCAATGTTCCTTAAGATGTTTGCCTTACCACAGTGTCTCTGGAGTTCATGCTATAGTGTTAAAGTAATGTGGAGTCATAAATGCTGTTGTCTCATCCGCATCATCACTTGTATTTTAGCATAAATACAAATATATAGTAGCAGAAAGAAAACGCTAATGAATTGCCTCTATAAAATACAATTACCGGGAGCGGGGAGAGGGGAGGAGGGGATGGGTATTTGCATACACAAAGAGTGCAATGCGCACCACCCGAAGGATGGACATATTTGAAATTCGGACTTGGGGGGGGTAAGGGCAACATACGCAACCTAAACATCTGTACTCCCACAATATGCTGAAAAAAAAAAAAATACAATTACCAACTTGACCTACAGTCACCTATAGTGACCATGGTCACTTTATCATTAAAACATCATTGACCAGATACGGTGGCCCACACCTGCAATCCTAGCACTTTGGGAGGCTGAGGCAAGAGGATCACTTGAGGCCAGGAGTTTGGGACCAGCCTGGGCAATAGAGAAAACAGAAAACAAAAAAATTAGCCAAGCATGGTAGCATGTGCCTGTAGTCCCAGCTACTCAGGAGGCTGAGGCAGGAGGATCATTTGAGATTGCAGTGAGCTATGATGATGCCACTGCACTCTAGCCCAGGCAACAGAGCAAGACTGTCTCAAAACAAAAACAAAAGCCACACACAAAAAACAAAACAAACAAAAAAAATCATTAACAATGTCACTGAAAAAATTTCAATGAATATTTAAATTCAGCTATAAGGACTTCTGAGTCTTACTTAAAGAGATGCAAAATCTCCATGCCTATCTTTTAAGCAGTTGTAACAAAAAAAAGTTGTTCAAGCTTCCCTTTTCCTATAGTAAATACCTATAACAAAATTAAATTGTTTTTCTAATTTAAACTGTAAAACTTCTATATGCAAACTTGTTTAATAAACTTAATATAACCTACAGATATATGGAAGGGTTTTCTTTTGTTCAATATTTTTATCATTGATTGGCATAAAGGATTTTAAAAAACAATCTGTGTGGACAGAAACAACGGGTCTGAATCAACTAGCATTAATATAAATCTTACATTTAGACTCAAAGAAATCAAATGTAAATGTGAAGGATGGGGTGAATAAATATCTATGTGAAAATAAAAAAGGTAAATATAAGCCGCTGCTACTAAAAAAGTGAATGCAATTTCTCATCTATGGACTTTTTGTTCACATCACTCTATTTGTGTCTAGGTTAAACAAGCTAAGAGAAAACTTTTACTATTACATGTCATGAGTTGTTCTAAGGAAAAAGAACACAAACAAGAAACTGTTTATTAAGCACTCAGTGCTCGGCACTATACTACTTACAGAGTTATTAAAATTGATAAAAGACAGTTTTGCCTTCAAGGAGCTTTCACTCAATTGGTCCCAAGTACCAATAGTCTTGGTCTGTCAGTCCACCTACAGAGTAGTGGGCCCCTTCCCTTAGTGTCACACGTTTGAAAGTTCAAAAGTAAACTGCAGAAAACTCAAACCTGGGAATAAAGGGTTCAGAAACCATGCCTCACAATGAATGACTGAAAGAACTACAGAAGTATTCCTTGAAGCAGCTAATACATAAGGGGTAATGAAGAGCTGAGACTGTTTCATAGAAGCAGGGAGAACTAGTGTTGTGCAGCTCCAGAAGGTAAAATAAGAACCAACAGGTAAAAGTCAAGGTAGGCAGATGTACAGAGGTCCTAACAATCAGAGTTAGCAAAGAACACAGCTGCCTTATAGAGCTATGGACTTGAATAATTAAGCAGAGTCTAGATGGCTACATAGTAATGGACACTGCACAAAGGATTTTTTTATATTAAAGCTGAAAATTATTTGAAAAGTTCCTTCACACACTAATATCATTACCTGAAAAGAGATGAAATCTTAATATTATTGAGATTCACCAAATTTCCTAACTCAAAAGCCAAGTACAATACATTCACAATGGAATCAGTAATTACAAATTACTTTTAGGAGTTAAAAGAGATCTTATATTCCAAAAGGACTGCACAAATTACATTTACCTTAAAAAAAACACACACACACACAACACATAGAAATAATCACTAGTAGTAACAAAAGAACAACAAAAGAACCCAAACTATTAAGGCCAAATTCATTTTTAAAAATGGACACATAAATTGTAAAATGAGTGCCCTTTAAAAGTACCAGTTTAAATTCTGATAAAGAATTTTATTATATTAATCAGATAACCATAAACATGAAAAATATAACTTTGGGTTCTAGAAAACTATAAGAAAGAATTATGTATATTGGGCTCTTTGTAAAGAATGTGATCATATTAACTCAAAACAAAGGCTAAAAATGGTAATGATCAGAAAAGTGATCATAATTCATAATTTCTCCCTCTCATTAAAAAAAAATCAGTGTTTTACTTACTCTTTTAGAAAACTGTAAAAAGAATCAAACAGCTGCCAATAATTTAACAAATAAGTCTAATTTCAGGAGAGGGGAAAGGAGTGGTTGAAATCAAGCTGTATTCTATCTATTCCAATTGTATATATCAAACATCACAAACAAAAATTATAGTGTTAAATAAGGAAGTCATCTCCCTGTGGAAACTGTGAGGAAGAATACAGCCTGGAATTCCAGACTTAACTTAAAACTACAATACGGAGAATAGCAGCTCACTTATTCATAACTATTTGAATAAATGGAAACTAGAGTTAAATGGAACCAAAATCACTACTTTTAACATGGCTTTTCTGACCATATCCATAATTAAAACATCTAAATACATATATATGCAATCAAAATGTCACTTCACACAAAGATAAAAATCTAATCACAGCATTCAATTTCTCACATGTGCAAAGCTTATAAAATACTACTGGGAAGATATTTTACTTTTCTTGAAAAAAGGTGAAAATTTCAAATTAGAATTTATGGTTTTAGAAATTAGAGGTAGATAGAAAAAAGAACACTGTATTAAAAGTGTTCTAGTTCCAGCTCTACCATTAATCTCTTATGTGACTTTAGATCACTTAGTCTTCTATGCCTCAATTTCTTCATCTGTGAAATGGATATACTCCATCCCTATATTAGGATGGTGGCAGTGAGGATCAAATGTGAAAACTCTTTGAAGAATACTATACTGTACTATAAAGTCAGGTCATTACTATTATTTTCATTATAGATATTTATCATCTATCAATCTTCTAGATATCAGCAAATGAAGCCACCAACCAAAAGGCACATGTGAGTCAAAGAAAAAGCAGGTAAAACAGAAGGCATCCTCCCACAGGCACGCGGGACTTACGTCCTGCATTTGGGCGTTGAAGACTGCACAAGATGACAACTGAAAAGACTGAATCATGACCTGAGCAACACCCTGTGGATCAGAATACAATGCACCTCCCAGGTGAGAATGTATCTGAATGACTTTTTGTAAATGGAAAGAATAATTATATGAGTTTCTAGAGGCCTGGAATAAGTCACTTAACAGAAGAGCCTCTTTCTCATTTATAAAATGAAGGATTCGAACTTGATCAGTCATTTCCAAACTCCAGTGAGTTGCTGTTGTTTTTTAAACCAGTAAAATCCTCTTTTTAAAAACTCACCAAAAAAATCTCAATTTACAAAACAAATCAAAACTGGTGCTGCTTTAGTTGAAGTAGAAGCAGGGGCCTACAGCCCATGGTTCTTGTCTTTGTAAGGATTCCGAGTTGCTTTTTCCAATCTCAAAAGCTCCTGGGAGCTCGGTTTGAAAACCACTGGGCTCAGATGATCAAATACATTATAGCTCCACGAGCATTTGGCTATTATTTATGAATTCTCAAAAATAGTTTAAAATAGACTCTGTAAAGTTATCAAGTTCTGGTACCTTCATTAAAAGCAGTAGATAGAAATACTTTTAAAATTTGTTAGATTACTAAATTCCTCATTAAATTTACAAAAAGGAATTTACTATTACTTTCAGCTCTAGTTGAAAAATACAGGCCAGCCCCAAAAATTGTATGAAAAATACCAACAAAATTTTATTAAAGCAAAAGATCATCTAACTCATTGAACACTAAATTCTCAATTTTAACTCTAGAGTTTAATATATTACCTTTTGGAATTAAAAAAGTCTATATTCCTTTATAAGGCAAAACCATCTTGCTATTCACTGGTTTGAAATCCAAATCAACCAAAAGTAGATGTGTAGCCAGCAAGGACTTCCTCTTCACTGTTAACAAGACCTGGCCAAGAACCACTGGGTCAAGCTGATAAAAGTTTAGATGCAGCACAGAGCACGTAGCTTAAATATGAGAGGCAGTATGGCGTGGTGGTTCAATGTAGGAAATGTGGAGCTACTTATCTGGATGAGAATCCTGGCTCTACAACTAACCAAATATGTGACCTTGGAAGAGTCACCCATCTTTCCTCTGCTTTAGTTCCCTCACCTGTCAAATGCGGGTAATAAGAGTAATTACCTCAAGAGTAATTAGATTAAATGAGTTCATACACATAAAGCATTTACAACAGTGCCTGACACATAGTAAATGCTGTTGCTATTAGCACTTAAACTAGCAATTCCAACACCAAGCCAAGACAAAACATTTCTATGGCTCATGGCAAGAAAAAAAACAAAAGCAAACTAAATTTATTCAGGTAAGCTGGTTTTATTCAAATTTTAAATTCCAAGATTATGTTTTCCTTATTTTTCATGGTATTAAAAATGTTTCTCCTTAGAAATCATAATGACCAGTAAATGGCAGTTTTTAAATATCCGTATTTAGCCAAATTAAAAAAAAAAAATTTTTTTTAATGACAGTCTATGTCATGGTCCCCAGTGCTTTTTGTTGTTTCTATGCTTCATTTTATGGGTCTATAAAATCTAAAAGTCTGGGAACCACTTCTTAAATCACATAAAACCACATTAAAAAGATAATTCAAAGCAATAATTAATACATAATCCATGTTTCTTTTTCCTTTCATTGATATATGTAACTAAAAAATGTGCAAAAAATTAAAAGATTTGCCTTTCTTTGTAAAAAAAAAGATCTTGTAAAGTCATGTGAGATAATTCTAGGAAATTCTATTAAAAATACTAATTTATCTAGTTTTGTAAAGAATTCACTCATCTTCTCATAAGGCTCAACCATATCATAACCTAGATCAAGTGTATTTGTTTAACTCTATGAAGTAAAAATAGTCTATTCATTTAACTGCTGGATTCTGAACCAAAAAGAAAAATAATATACTTAATATTTAAAATCTGGTTTTAAAGTTGCTTATGTTGTTGAGCATAAAAGTAATAAATGTTTGATCTACCTATTTGATATTATCATTTGAACTTTATAGAAATTATGGCCTTTTAATAAGCATACTTTTTGTAAGCACAATGCTTATATATTCATCATCCATCAAAAATTGACATTGCTACTTAATAATATAAGTTCTCATCATGATTAATATCAGATAACAGTGGACCATTCATTAATATACTTGTTTATTTCATCTGGATTCAACTTTCCAAACATTCCATTTAATTTCATATTAGCAACTTAAATGTCACCTTAGTGTGAATTTAGTACTACATAAAGCTGATCTTGGGAATCTTTGGATGGGAGAAGTCAACATTATATAATAATTACCGTTAAAATTTACTCTTTCAACCATGGTTCATTGAGCTGAGAAAATGGTGCTTTCTGTTTTTAGTAGCATTAAGCTGCTGCTGTTACCTGGGCATGCTGGCTTTGTGCAAGCTCCTCTTTCCTGCGTTTCATGAGCTCTTTTCTCAGCTCTTTGGGTGCTTTCTCCACTTCATTTATAACCTACAGTGTATAAGCATGCAGGAGGTGGGGAAATGATACTTTCTCCACAGCAAGCATTTATGTGAGCAGATAAGCTATGAATATTAAAATTGTTAAAAAGTTCCTTTCAACATGCATTAGCATAGGTGTTAGTTTGGTGAAAAAGAATAAAAGGATAGAACATGCATAATCTCAGTGCAGAAAGGGACATTACACCATAGGAAAGGTTAATTAGTTGCTTAATTATCTCTATGTATCATTTTCTCTCTTAAAGATCCAAAGACAATCAGTGAAGAATTATTTGCAGCACTGATGCTGAACTAAAGGTGATAAACTCAACTGACCTGGAAAGATCATCAAATTATAAACATACTCTATTGACATTGTTTGAAATACTGAACATGAGGAAAGTTAATGGCCATTTATAAAAGTGTAAAATTTCTTAATTGGCTTGATCATACCAAAGAAATAATTTTAAATGAAATCCACTTAATGAGACCAAAAAAAAAGGATAAAGGAAAGCATGTCTTAGAATACACAAAGGAGAAATAAATGAATATGAATTTTTTTTCATAAAATGCACCATTTTATATACGGTGTGATAAAAATGAACATATCTGATAATCTTATGTAGGATTAGAGTAACATTCTCCTTTGCTGCCAATTTAAGCCAAACTTGTTAACTTAAAAATCAGTAATATAAGCACTCTTTAACAGTTTAGTAAGCTATGATTTACTATACCAGATAAAGTATAAGATGAAGTACATTTTAGAGTTCCTTCTTTTAATCATTTCAAAAAATCCTAGATGTGTATTTCATCTAACAATAGCTCTATCATCCAACTATGAAAAACGATCATGTAGAAGCACCAAAAGAAACCAGATTCCAAATCACCACATGCTATTGATGGTCCGTGAAAGAGACTGATTTTGATTTAACATAGTGTATTCAAAATTTCCCATCAGTAATCCCTCATGAAGCCAAATCACCATCAAAAGGAAGAGACTCCCCAAATGCAAGAAGTTTAGCGATAAGGAAAAAAAATACATAATGTAATTATTTAAAGTAGCATTGACTTCAAACATGTTCACTGGCGAAAACTCTCCCACTCCAAAACAGTAACAATAACTAGAGACTGTAATACATTTAGGATTAAGCTACATATTTACTTGTAAACATTTTTAAAATTTAATCTAATATAAATAATAATCTCACAATAAAAACTACCCATGGTTTTGACAAAATTAACATGTAGGCCCAGTAAGGTCATACCTCATGGTATACAGAGAGGAAATTCTACATAAAACATAATGAATAGTAACAAAACCGTGATTTCTAGAAATGGAAGCCACATCAAATAAAATTACACAGCACTTCATCCATCTTTACCTAAAGAAATCAAAGAACATACTGTGTTTATTAACTCTATCCTTTTTAAAATAGATCTTAAGATGCAGCAATATGACATTCAATTTTCTTCATAACTTAAATGTTACAGTCAATGAACCTGGGTATTTGAGATGTGTAACAAAAGTGAAAATGCATTTACTAGTTTGGTTGACGGTTTTTTTTTTGATCCAACCTGAATAAACCTGATCATAATTTTTGTCCCTAGGGTCTTTTATATCACAGAAAGGTAAATCCTCCTCCTACACTGAAGATGTAAAATAAATCATAAAATTATCTTTGAAAACTGTTTATATGTAAAGGTTTCATAGTTTTATTTTAATTTGGGATGAGACACTAATATGTAAATCATCCTTCTGAATCAATGATAATCTTTCTTAGTAAATAATACTGCAAACAAATTCTATAACAACATGGAACAGTTTGAGGAAAAATGAATAAACTCATTCTAATCAAATGACTTTATAGATACTTTCTACTTTTGATTCTTCGAAGAAACTCACAATTTCATGAGCTTATAGATATTATTTAGAATTTCAGGTTATTCAGCTTTTATTTGGCACAACATCCAAGAAAGGCAATAAAGCTAATCAAGAAAGAAACTGTTAAAAGTATAATAATTTATAAATAATGAATTATTGCTGCCACCAGCAAACACAACAGCAAGTTTTTGTAAAAAAAAATATTTCTATCTAAGGCCTTAAATATGTTGCACTAATAAAGAGAATTAAACTCAATTTGAAGACTTGGTTCAAGGTTTAGCTAGATATTTAGCGGTAGTTTGTGAACCTGAACAGGCCATTAAAACCTCCTTTACTCAAGTCTTCTGGACATAAAATGGGGATAACACCCGACCTTACTACTACCCTATGTGACTGTGGGGAAGACTGAATGAAAGAATGAATGAGTGCTACTTAACTATCAAGTATTATTCCCATTTCCTAGTCAGTCTTAAATTTACATGTAAAAAAAAATGGCTTCAGTAATTTAAAACAGTAGTTAGAATTACCTCTTTCTTTCGGTTCTTTAGCATATTCTGAAATTTGGACAGCTCTTTCTCTTGTTCTCCTTTAATGCGTTTGGCTTCATCTCGCAAGCGATTTGTGTGTTCTTGTTCCAGACGTTCAATAGTCTGTTTCTGCTGTTTTTCTAGATTCTCGATTTCCTGGTCATACTGTCGTTTTTTACTCTGTAAAACAACGTAACTCAAGATGATTGAATATCACCCATATTAACTTATTATAGTGAAGATGTTGACTAAGAGCACATAACTAGCATTTAAGTTTAGTGATGTACTATAATCTTTGCAATACCAAACAAGTCAAATGCACTAAAATGTGTTACGAAATTTTTCAAAAAAATCAGTTCATTTTTTGTTCTAACATGGAAAATGTTTTCTCTATTATACATGTAGTAGAATGTTCAAAATTTTTAGAGAATCCAGAATACCCAGTTGTTATGAAGTACTAAAGCAAGTTAGAAAAATGTCAATATTTATCCAATAAAAATTCTGACAAATTAAAGAGCTTACTTGAAGTCTATTTTAATTAAATATTTAATAATGCCAGTATTTAATAATAATAGTAATATTACTTGTCATTTTCAGATTTACTCTTCCTCATTAAGGTTATTAAAATAAACATCCTATTCCATTGGAACAAATCTTTTGGAATTACAAATCTACTTTGTCAACAAGACTTCTATTCATGTAATACGCAAGTAACATTGCAATTCTGGATATACTTAAATATTTGTAAAGGAGGCTTTTTTAAAAATTGAAAAGCAAAACATTTTAGAAAATATCTGAGGGGGGAGACAGTTTTCATAAAGTTGTGAAAAATAGAACAGAAGCACTATAAAAATACTCAATGAGAACGAAAGTTCATTTTCTTAGGAATTCCCAGTTATAATCCAACACATGTAATCAACAATGTCACACTTCACACAAAACAATCTTTATCACTTACAATTACAAGACAGCAAAAGGACTATATTCAAAGCATGAATACTTCTAACATTCCAAATGATCTTTTTTCTAACCTAATGTTAAGGCAGATATTCAACATAAATTACTGACATTTTCTATCACATTACTAATTCCTTTCCCAAATTTGGACACAAGGTAAAAACTGAAGGACTGAGTGACAATTACCCTTGACTAGTCAGCACTATTTGTCTAACAGCAGTGAATAGGGATTTGGAGGCTTAACTGTAGGTGCCAGAAAAGAAAGTACATTTTTAAAAAGCCCTTGAGAAGTCCCACTACTCAGCCAGGTTTGAAGACAACTGCTCTAGATGGGCTTTAAAGCTTGGATTCTAATTCTGAAAGAGTAAATTGGAGCTCTGAAAAATTATTCGGCAATAGGCACATTTAAGAACTTTCTAAGCCATCTATTGGCTTCATGATTTTAGGTTTTCATGATTTGGATGGACAATCCTTACAAGAAAAAAGAACCACACGCACAAAAAAAAGGCATCAAAAACACCAAAAAGATAAAGGCCCAAAATACACCATAAAGCCAGAGAAACACAGCCATCAGAGAACAAGTTGTAAAACCCGCTAGTGCGATTTTTCACCAAATTTCATTAACACAAAATGGTACAAAAATCTAAGACTTTACCATCATTTCCTGCTCAAAGCGCCGGAAAATTTGTTCTCGTTGTTGCTGCAGTTTACTATTAAGCTGTTGTTGGGCTCTTTGCTCTTCTTTTTGAAGAAATCTTAATTCCCGAAGTTCCTGACGTCTGATAAAATTTAGTGGTAATGACAGAGAAAGACAGTAAAAATTACACCTTTGAAGTAACACTTTAAAAAAAAAAGTTAAAAATTTTTTTCAAAGGCAAGAGTAGTAAAAGAATAATCCAAAATCAGCCAAGAATTTACCCTTGTTTCTTTAGTCTTCAGACTGAAAAGAAGTTAGAAATCAGTTTTAATTAATTGTTTCTCTACTTACCTAAGAAACCTCAATTCTTCAGTTTTGGAATCACTATCTGTAACTATCTTTGACGTTGTTACACTCACTTCTACACCATCAACAATAAATTTGCGTGTTTTCTTCAATGTTTTCTTTTGTCGTCTTGTTTCCTGAGTGAGATTTTATTTTAGTTAGGCTGTGTAGAGGCAATACTGAAGGTGGAGACCATTTTCTTCTTTAAAAAAAAACTGAACGGCAATGAAGACTATACATATAAAAGTATGACTATAAAACTGTAAAGATTCATCTGTGGAACCAATTATATCACCTTAAACCTTATCTGACTTACACATGACTTTACAGATGAAATCAAATTTTTTAAAAGTGAAATTATGCATTTTGATGATGTACATGTATAATTTTATGACATCACATAATTAGGCAAAAGTGATAATGAACAATTCACATAAATAACTAATTAGTATAACTTTTACATGTTAGCCATTTTTTCTTCAACTTTTCTTGTTGTAGGTTCTCAGATACCTCTGCTTTTTAACTGACAAAACACTTAAAAATGAATTTTAGGGCTCATCCCCTAAAGAATTTCCTAATGAATCCCCTAAATGAATTCTGGGGCTCATCCCATCGATCAATTAAGTCTGATGGTGGCTGGGAATCTACTTTTTGAAAAAGCTCTCAGTTAATTTTTTTTTTTTTTTTTGAGACAGAGTCTCATTGTGTTGCCTGGGCAAGAGGCCGTGGCAGCAACTTCAAACTCCTGGGCTCAAGCGATCCTACTGCCTCAGCCTCTCGAGTAGCTGGGACTACAGGCATGTGCCACCATGCCCGGCTAATTTTTTCTATATATTTTTAGTTGTCCGATTAATTTCTTTCTATTTTTAGTAGAGACGGGGTCTCGATCTTGCTCAGGCTGGTCTCAAACTCCTGAGCTCAAACAATCCGCCCGCCTCGGCCTCCCAAAGTGCTAGGATTACAGGTGTGAGCCACCGCGCCCAGCCACTCTCAGGTAATTTTTAAACACTGCCAAGACTGGAAATAAAAATCTATTAAATCATTAACAATAATATCAACAGCTCTCTTCCATCTAAGGAACACAGATGAATGTGTGATCTTAGAATTAGTAGAAAGAGAGCACCTCTACTGCACCCAAAAAGTACCCGATCTGGCCAGGGGCAGTGGCTCATGCCTGTAATCCTAGCACTTTGGGAGGCTGAGCAGGGAGGATCACTTGAGGCCATGAGTTTGAGACCAGCCTGAGGAACATAAGCGAGACCCCATCTCTACATAAAATAGAAAAATTAGCTGGGCATGGTGGCATGCGCCTATAGTCCCAGAAACTTGGGAGTCTAAGGCAGGAAGATCACTTGAGCGCAGGAGTTGGAGGTTGCAGGGAGCTATGATGGCGTCACTGTACTTTAGCCTGGGTGACAGACCAAGACCCTGACTCAAAAAAAAAAAAAAAAGTACCAGATCTGCCTGCTAGCTATTGCCTAAAATTCTTTATCAAGATTAAATTCTTCATTTCTCAACTCGTATCCAAAAACTTTTAAATGCAAACAATAGAAGGATAACACTCCTAATACATTTTGGTAAAGAGAATAAGTATTGAGAGAGAGCAAGCAGGTAATTACTTGGTTTTGGGTTTTTTTGTGGGTTTTTTTTTTTTTTTGAGACAGGTCTTGCTCCGTTACCCAGGCTGGAGTGCAGTGGCACATTACAGCTCACTGTAACTTTGAACTCTTGGGCTCAGGGCATCCTCCCACCTCAGCCTCCAGAGTGGTTAGGACTACAGGTGCATGCCACCAGTAGCTAATTTTTTGAGATGGGGTCTTGCTATGTTGCCCAGGCTGGTCTTGAAACTCCTGGCCTCAGGGGATCCTCCTACCTCAGCCTCCCAAAAGGCTAGAATTACAGTTGTGAGCCACTGCACCTGGCCAATTACTTGCTTTTGATACAGAGAAAAGAGTTAGAAAGCAGAGGAAGCAAAAGTGGAAATACTAAACTCAAAATGCATTAGAATTGTAAACAGTTTGTCTTTGTCACCTTCCAATAACCTTTCTACAACCACTCTTCTTACTAGTCTATTCTCCAAGGTTCCAGTATCCTCATGATCCTCTTCCTAAGCCCTGGACTATGGTACCATATCGAGGCTTCCTCTAAAATCTAAAACTGGCATGCTCTAAAAAGTACATCTATCTCCCCTTAACCTCGAGGCTTCACATTTCTTCAGCTCCTACTAAAGTTCCACAATATTTTAATTTATATGTAAGTATTTGCATTTTTAAAGATGCTAATTAAGTCAGTGAATGAATTTTAGATTGGCAGAACTTCAGTCAGTTTTACCACTCTAAATTGGTAGAACTAAAGAATTGGTAGAACTAACCCAAAAATCTAAATTAGTAGAACTGACTAAAGAAAATTCAGGGGATATATGTAATAACTTGGGGCAGACAGGCAAGTTGATCAGTCATGCCCTGGAGTCCTGTCTCTTACGGTCAGTTTTCCTAGGTTGTTTCTGCTTTTCTGTCTTCTTTCCTGCTACTTAACAACCAAAGGTCTCTAAGAAGTATCTTCCAAAGGGTAGTACATGGCTCACCAGCACTAGAATTCCATGGGATCTTTTGTTACAAATACTAATTCCCGGGACTTATCTCAGACTTCTACATAGCTCCCACTGGTAACTCCTAAGCAAAGATTTGAGAATTATGCTCTAAAAGCTCCAAGTGTACTAGGTTCTAAGATTCAGTGGTAAATCTAGGATTGTTTACAACCTAAGCATGCTTAAAAAGAGATCATTCTTTCAATTTCTCTATTTTTTCATATATTATCGATTCTTGCTAAAGTCACATCCAGATACATGTGATAAAAATACCTAAATCATAACCAAGCAACTATATTGTACTGTTTATCTATATTAAGTTTGCAAAAATAGGTAGGTCCTACCAAAAAATTTAAAGATTACATTCAGAATCTCTCTCCTTAGTTCTTTTCAATTGATTACCTTCATAAACCATAAGTATTTATAGGGTTAATACTATTATACATTGATTTAGTGCTGTTTTATTTTTAAGACATCAATTTCACATAAACTCTGATTTGCTAAAATGACAAAGAAAATCCCAAACAAGAACCTATGTACACTTACTTGTAAAGATATTGATCCACTGTCTTTAGTTTTACTTAGGAAGCTAGAGATGGATAAATTCAAGTCAATGCTGCTGTTATCAGCAGTGGAACCAGTGCCTGAATCAGCATCATTTTCCTTTTGATTCTCAGATTCTGGAAGCAGCATGGTTTCAGTTTTTGACAAAGCACCGATTTCTCCTTTATTTTCTGCGTCTCCAGAGTTGATATTAATACTGGGTATTGGAACAGGCTGAGGTTCACTGGCCTGTGAAACTGCAGTAACCTGAGGTTCTGTTTTAATTGGCACTTCACATGGCATTTCTTTTTTCTCTGTATCTATCTGAGTAGTGGCTTTATGAGCATCCTGAGTTTCACCTCCTAAAGCCTTTTGGTCAGCATCAATCACTACATTTCCAACCTCTATTTCTTCTGTGCTACTTGACTCAGTAATTTCTTCAACCTCATTTGTCCGTGGTTCTTCATTCGTCTCCAATATGTTCTCTGAACTGTTTATTAATTGTTCCTTATTTTTACCTTCTACAGATTTTTGACCTATCTCATTAGTTTCAACTATTTCTTTAATAGAAACTTCCTTAGTACCACCCGCCTCAGGACCCTCCGCAGGCTTGCTTATTAATTTCTGGTCTACTTCAACCACTTTTTCCCCATCATTACTCTGAGTATCCTCAGCACTGTTTTCAACAACCTTCTGAACAACATCTACTGCCTCATTTATTCCTACCACATTACTTGTATCGCTGATCACATCTTTTTGAGTTTTGTCATCTCTTCCCAATTTCTCTTGGCTGTCTTCCTTTTTAAGCCCAACTTCACTATCAGTTGCCTGAATATCTGCCTCTTTTTCTCCAGTCTCTTGAGAAACTAAATCTATTGTTTCAATAGCAGTATCTTTAATTTCTTCAGATTTTATAAGCCTATTTTCAAATGTCTGTTTCTCTTCCTGATTCCTTTCTTCCTCAGATTTTAGATTATCTTCAATGTTTGTTTCTAAAGTTATCATTACATTATTCTCTTTTCCTTCACTGACTGAATTAGTGTTCACAGTTTCTTGGTCTTTTGTATCAGGTAGATTTTCAAACTCAGGTCTCTTCTCTCTCCCATTCTCTTTGATTACTATTGTTCTATTATGGAGTTCAGCCATAGCTTCCAAATGAGCATCGTCAACATGTTCATGCATTCCATCCATGGCCTTTTCAGGTTCATCCATGGTAGGTTTTTCAATAAGAACTTTGTTGTTGAATTTATCTTCAGAAGTATTATGTTCTGTTTTTTCTGAGACAGATTCCAAAATACAAGCATTTTGTGAAAGTTTATCTTCTTCAGAGCTGGCGATACTAAGGTCAGAAGAGGCACGCTTATCTGAAGGTATTGGCTAGAAAAGATTTTATACATTTTAGTGTTAAAAAATGATCTCAAGATAGTGACTAAAACAATGTTTACATATATGTGATAATTTAATATCTTTATTCAATAAATGTTGAAGTTATAAAAATAATGTAAAGAATTGACAATTCTTCACATAATAAATATAACAAAAATACATAACAAGGAGCAACTTTGCTACTAATATTCATCTCTAACATTAAAGGTTTTGTATCGCCACCCATTAATCCTTAGATACAGCTACAACCACACCTCAAAACCCAACTGTAAAAATTAACTAAATGAAATTTCCTTTCTAAATACCAACCAGAGAATTTTCTGCTTCCTCATCATCATCTTCCTCTTTACCATCTTCAACTTCTTCTGTTACTTCAGCCTTTGCCTCTGCAATCAATTCTCGTATTGGTTTGTTGGAACCAACAGTAACAAAGGGATGCTGTTGATCATTAAAAAGAGCATACTCAATAACAACTAAAATACCTGCTTGTAAACTAAGTTTGAAACACACATTTTTATGTGGTAAAAATATAAACATATGGACAAAAAAAAAAACACAAACAATCTCAGGTAATGTTACACCTAGGAAGGGAAAGAGGAGAAGAGGGTGAGCAAAAGTAGGGGTGACCTGCAACTGGATCTGTATATTATTTTTAAGAATCTGAAGCAAATCTGTCAAAATGTTAAGAATTGTTACATCTGGATAGTAGGCCCATGTACTTTTCTGTATGCTTGAAAATTTCATAATTGAAAATTTAAATTAAAATTTAAAGCAAGTTTCAAGTCAGTACATTATTAGTTCTTAAAAAGTAACAATAATCTATATAAATCCTATCGAAGCCTCGATATTCCAAAACCTTAAGAGGTCTGTTAAAAGTGTCTACAAACACCTGTGTTTTGGGCATGATTCTGATATTCTTGAGACTAAGAAGACATTTTATATATCTCTCTCTGCATGAAGAGACCTTCAAATGTGGGGGTGGCAAAATAATACTAGAAAACATGGGCCAGGCACAGTGGCTCACGCCTATAATCCCAGCACTTTGGGAGGCCAACGCAGGAGGATCTCTTGAGGCCAGGAGTTCAAGCAGCCTGAGCAACACAGCAAGACCCCATCCCTACAAAAAATACAAAAATTAGCCAAGTGTGGTGGCACATGCCTATAGTCCTGGCTACTCTGGAAGCTGAGGCAGAGGATTATTTGAGCCCAGGAGTTTGAGGTTGTAGTGAGCTATGATCATGCCACTGCACTCCAGCCCAGGCAACAGAGTGAGACTCTGTCTCAAAAATAAACAAACAGAAAGTGTGTTCCAAGGATTATACCTGTTGCATACAACAAGGCAATTTTTCATGCTTTTTTCCCCCAGATAAACAACTCAACCTAAAAAACTATAATGCAGGAGTTACACAATAACTTAACCTAACAGGAATCGCCTCAAGATTTATCATTCTACTTGTCCATCTGTAGTATTAATTATTTGGCAAATTTGTATTTAATATATGACAAACAGGTCGTGTTATAAACCAAAATTAAATTTATCCAATAACTTTAATGCCACTTTTTAAAAGTCAACAATATTTACTGAACATTTAACCTCACTGTAAGAAATATAAAAAATACATATAAAAATTAGCTCATGGCCCCTGCACCCAAGGTGCTTGGCTTTCTAATAATGAGGGAGACATAATGGAAATAACTAAAAAAATGAAAAGAACATAATTAAACTGAATCAAAAAAGCACAGGAAGAATGATTTACAAGCTGAATACCTGTTAGTAACAGCAGCACTTATGTTTGTAAAGCAAATACTAACTACCACCATTTTGACTTTCCATAGGAAAACTCAAGTGGAAAGAGAGCACACTGAATGAATCTGAAAGTGCATTCTTCTTAAAGAGACATTAAAATAATTATTAATACATGTTTTGCTATTGTCATACTATTTAATAGTTATATCCTACCTGCAGTAGCTGAGATGTGTTCCACCTAGCATCCACATTCTTTTCCAAGCATTTCTTTAGAAAGTCCTTAAAATTTGAAGACCTTCAAAATAAAATTTTAACAATGACATTCTATTTTACTTTCTTATTAATCAAATCAAACAAAGCTCCTTGATAAATTATGCTTAAGTTTCATTATGTACATAATAGTATTACTTTAACATAAGAAAACTAGTTGATGATACTGTGAAGATTTTATAAAACTTATTCATCATGTTAGACATATATGTAAGTAGGTACATAGTCACTGAGATATAGCCATATACTCACAAGTATTCCAAAATCACTTCTATTTAATAATAAATTCCATAAATATAACTCAATTACATATATGTTTCACTTCCTCATAGTACGGAAAATACCTTTTTCATATAGAACTCAAATCATTCATATTTTCAGATATATGGGAACAGTTATTTAATAGTCAAAGAGTTTTTATGGTCCTTAAGAAAAATATACCAAAAATCAGTTTTCTAATTCATACAGTCTTTGTACCATATACCCAAATGTAAGTATCTTTGGAAAATTATGAGAATAAAACATCGAGTTTTGCTTCTTAATAAGCTTTATTTAGAATATTTTACCATTTTGATGGCTGTGCTAATGTAGGGGGCTCAGATTTTGCTATTTTTAGCAGCACCCGCATTGGATTTAATTCATGATGAGGTGGTTCTATCTCAGCCATTTCTATTAAAGTGATACCCAGGGACCAAACATCAGCTTTGTAGTCATAGGGTCTGTCCTTAGATGTTTCACACATGACTACTTCAGGAGCCATCCTATAAAGACAGAGAATTAAAAGTTAAGATGTTTACCTTAAGAACTGTGATTGCAAGCCACGTAGGGTGGTCACATGTAGCCCTCCAGATCCCCCTCGACCGAATCCAAACTTCACAGAACAAATCCCCTTGTTAAAAGGATCTGTTCTGTAAAATTTGGATTCAGTCAAAAGGCTGCACTCAAGGATCCAGAGGCCACATGTGCCCCCAAGGCCGCAGGTTCCTCACCCCACTACTGACATGACTAATACTGTAAATTCATACAACCAAATACATACCAATATGGTGTGCCAATAAAGGAATCTCTTCTTTGAATTGTCCTCGTGTTTTTAGCTGATACTCCAAAATCCGCTTGAAATAATCACATAAAAGCATTAATGACAGCGTTTAAGCATTGTTCATTATATTCAATAGGTGAAAAAGCATTTCAAGTCTTCAATAAGGCCACATTTATTAAAAGGTAAGTAAAACAAAAAGATAAATAAGTTCTCTACCACCCTAATCTTGAATGCCCTCTTTCTACCACCTCCCCCAAAGATCCCATCATTAATACACTTAATACCATCATCTTTATATATCTTCAGATGACAAATTCTTCAGAATTCAAAACAAAAAATAGTAACTTTAACATGGACCAGTCTATCCACTTCAAAACAAATGCCAACTAGTGTTACATGATTGCAATTAAGTTAATAGACACAAACATTTTTCTCTACAGTGTGGAAAAAAAAAAACTAAACCAAAGCAGGCTTTGTGACAGCATATGTCTTGCTAACTTCCTCATAAAATCATATTACAAAGAAAAAATGTTTTCTGATTTAAATTATAAAGAATATTAACATTATAGCTTTATCAATTGTTAACCCCATCTTTTCAGCTTGGAGCTCAGACAACCATTAATAGCAACATAAAATTGCTACTGCTGTATAACTGATATCATGCCACATACATGTAAATTTTTTAAGTTTCACATTTGATGCCACAATTCTCAAAACTGAATAAATACCAAAAATCCCATATTTGATGCTCATGCCTAGCACAGAGTATACACTCAATAAACAGTAGCTACATCATGTTCACAATTCTAACTTTTGTGATATTTTGTTGTATAACTATTAAAACCCATGAAATTCTGCCATAATTATTTGTGTCTATTATATGGTTCTGCAGAATAGGATAGTTCTATACATTTATGCTGCAGAAATGAAAGGTTCTCTGTATTTGTGAATTAATAAAACAGAAATTACACCTGTTTTAAATGTCACCTCAATATTATTTGAGAAGTCCTAAGTTTTCAATAATATATTTATTTTTTTAAAAGGTATACATTGTTCTACACAAAAATATGTCCCTATGCTCAAATAAAATTGTAATATATTTACAGAAAAATATGCCCCCAAAATGGATCAAAAATATAAAATTGTATTTCAAAATGAGTGACAAGATTTTAAAAAATGATGAAAGATATAAAAGAGCAACATAAGCCAGAATTAATCACAGAAAAACTCAGAGAGGGGATAGAATGTAAGAAAAAAATTTCTTTAGAAACAAAAGACTAAACTAGGAGGAATACAAGAACAAATAAACAACAAATTCATACCTATTATCACTTCACACCCAATAGTATGGCTATTATCAATAAAATAAAAAAATAAGAAGTGTTGACAAAGATGTGGAGAAACTGGAACCCTTGTGCATTGCTAGTAGAAATGTAAAATGATGCAGGTTTTGTGGAAAACAGTATGGCAGTTTCTCAAAAAATTAAACATGGAATTACCATAGGATCCAGCAATTCCACTTCTGGGTGCATACCCAAAAGAATTGAAAGCAGGGAGTAGAAAAGATATTTGTACACCAATGTTCATAGCAGTATTATTCATAAAAGCCAAAAGGTGAAAGCAACTCAAGTGCCCATTAATGGATGAATGGATAAACAAAATGTAGTGTATACATACAATGAAATATTATTCAACCTTAAAAAGGAAGGACATTCCGACACATGCTACCACATGGATAAACCTTAAGGACATTATGCTAAGTGAAATAAGACAAGCACAAAAGGAAAAACATTATATGATTTCACTTATATGAGGTACCCACAGTAGTTAAAATCATAGAAACTGAAAGTAGAATGGTGGTTGCCAGGGGCTCAAAGGAGTGGAAATTGAGGAGTTAGTGTTTAATGGGCTGGAGTTTCAGTTTTGCAAGATGAAAAGAGGTACAGAGATGGACAGTGGTGATGGTTGCACGGTAACGTGAAATGTACTTAATGCCACAGAACTGTACACTTAAAAATGATCAAAATGGTAAATTTTGTTATGTATATTTTGCCGCAATAAAAAAAGGAACATAAAAATAACTTGGGAAAAAGTTATTAACATTGATGATAGGCAAAGATCCAACAAACACGTAATCAAAGTCCCTAAAGAAGAAAGTCAAGGGAACAGAACAAATATTCAGATTTATAATTGCAGAAAACCTTCCTGGAAAAAAAAAGGGACTTGAATATTGTTAACAGCACAATATTTATTAGAAGAGACTAGTCAAACTATTGCTCCTGAAAGAAAAAAATTCTTCAGCATCTAAGCAAAAAGAGCACGTGACTTACAAAGGGAAAGAAAATCAGATTATTATCAAACTTTTCAAAAGCAACATTTTATAACAGAAGAAAATGGAGTAACATAGTTCATATATTCAAGGAAAGAAATGGGAGCCAAGGATTTTCTATCCAGTGAAACTGATCTTCAAATACAAAGGATACAACTGCTATCATTACATAAGAATGCAGAGACCCCTTCCAGAGGAATCTACAAAAAAATGAGCCTCGGACAACCAACATGACCAGAGATGTCAACATAAAGTGTGGTAGTAAGCATTAAATATAGAAAAAAGGGTTAAAATGAATAATTAGGGGGTATCCTAAATCTATTATCCATACCCCTGAGAATCAGAATTTTCAATGTGGAAGAAAGGAGATAAAGATGTATTACAGAAGTTGGATTAAAAAAACCTTTATCCTGGACACAAAGAACTAAAAGTAGACCTACCATTTGATCCAGCAATCCCACTACTGGGTATGTACCCAAAGGAAAAAAAGATATTTTATAAAAAAGACTTGTTTATAGCAACACAATTCACAACTGCAAAGAAACGAAAACAACCCAAGTGCCCATCAATACATGAGAGGATTAATAAAATGTGGTGTGTGTGTATATATATATATATATATATAGGTACCATGGAGTATTACTCAGCCATAAAAAAATGGTGAACTAATACCTTTTGTTAACAACCTGGATGGAACTAGAGACCATCCTTTTAAATGAAGTATTGCAAGAATGGAAAAACAAAAACCACATGTACTCATTACCAAATCAGAACTAATAGATCAACACTCATGTGTACATATGGTAGCAAAATTCGACGGAAATCAAGCAGGTGGGAGCGGGGAGGAGGGGATAGGTAAATTCACACCTAACAGGTACAATGCGCACTATCTGGATGATGGACACACTTACAACTTTGACTCAAAGTGTACAAAAGCAATTCATGTATCCAAAACATTTGTACTCCCATAATATTCTGAAATTAAAAAAAAAAAAAAACCTTTATCCTGAATTCAAACAGGAAATATGTATAAACTCATGAAGGCCTACCTCTGTCCTTTGGAAAATCCTAGAACAACGCCCAATATAGAAAACTATAAACATCTGTAACACCCAGAGTGTGGTCTTGAAATACCATATCCTACCTAAAAGAAACCAGGGCTTCTTGAAGAAATGGCTAATTACAGGTCTGACACAGGAATATACAGGATAAGCCTGAAACATCTTAACTGTAAAGTCAGCTATCAAATACCAGTCATGTCAAAAAGACCAACAAGCCAACTTGAAAAGGGCCCCATGACTAACAATGGGACACGAGCTTCAGCAAGAAAAAAAATTGCAATGGATTGGAAATCTATCAAATAAAATTAAATCCATGAATTAATAATAATATTTTTAAAAATACTGGTCACCAACTGAGGTTAAGAGAAACCAGTTCATTATCTTGAAAGCTAAATAAATGAATGAAGGATTTTTCCTGTTTTTTCTAGATGAATTACACCCCTAAGTAACCAAATAATTAAAGTATCTTCTCATAAAATTATCACTAATTTTAAATTAAATGAAAATGAAGTAACTGATTATATCAAAATGATTACCAAAAATAAAGGAAAATAAAATGATAGATTTTGTAAGCCCAAAGAATGAATCTAGGCATAAAGAGCTGCTAACACTGAACAAGAACAAAAAGCAGACATTGTGTGCCTCCCAACGAAAGAATGTAAAACCACCTATATCGAACCTTTGGATTCATCTGCCAATTTGAAGGAAATACAGAGAGGAACTTACTGAAATCACCAAGCGCATGCAATAGCAAAATGCAGTTTGAGGGAAATGCTACAGGTCAAACAGCCGAGGTTTCTTTCATTATCAGGCCCTCTACAGAGCCGTTTTAGACATTTTTTCCTAATCCTCACTCCCCTCCATGAAATTTTAATGCCACAGATGTGGTGTATATCTGTTCATGTACTGTGGGCCTTTGGAGGTCACAAACCATTGCAATATTTAAGTTTTTTTGTCCCTAGAGAACCAATTTTTGCCCCCTTGCAGGCAATATTACCCCTATGCCCCCATTATGCATGCCATAACATAAAGAAAAGAAAGGGATGGGGGAGGACCTGTTAAATTAAAAGAGATTTAAAAGAAAAATCAAGTTTTATATATGGGTAAGATTAAACTCTAACATCTAGAGATGAACACTGGGTGACTAAACCATAAAGAAACACAAGGAAGTAATTACTATAAAAGTCAAGATAAAGTGTGGAGAAGGGAGGGACAGTGACTGAGATGGGCAAACGGAAGAGCTCCTGGGGTGCCTGACAAGAGTTCTATTTCTTGATCCAGGTGGTGATTACAAAGCTATTGTCTATAAGGCAACAAAGTCACTAAGCTATACAATTCTTGTGTGGTTTTCTATATCTGTATTTATTTCACAATGAAAAGGTTAAAATTTAGTACATCGCCTGTGTTTAGATGTCATGATAAACATATTAGGTCATTAAATATGAAATGTCCAATTTCGAATCAAAAGTTTAGTTTACTGTATCTCAAACAAGAAGCAGTACAATTAATCAAAGTATATTTCCAAACTATCCACACAGTTTTGCCATCTTAATGGTAGATGTTTATGCCAGCAGCAAAGCAGTCTGGAGAGTGAGTGGCGATGAAATCACGAAAGGTCTTTTCCACAGCTTGTTGAGAATTGAGTATTTTTCCTTGCAAGAAGTGGTCCAAAGCCTGGAAGAAGTGGTAGTCAGTTGGTGCAAAGTCTGGTGAATACTGTGAATGACAGAGAGTTTCCAAGTCCAGATTCTGTAGTTTGAGCAGCGCTGTTTTTTGCAACTTGTGGTCTTGCAAGAGGATTGGCCCGTGTCTATTGACTAATCTCAGCTGCTTAATCACAAGCATCCTCATCATTTCGCCAACTGGTTGCAGTAGACATCCACTGTAATCGATTGACCGGGCTTCATGAATAGTGGATAATACCAGTGCTAGACCACCAAACAGACACCATGAGCATTTTTTATGAATATTCGGTTTGGGACTGTGTTTCAGCACTTCATCTTTATCCAACCATTGTGCTGAACACTTGAGATTGTCAAAAAGAATCCATTTTTCATCACACATTGCAATATGGTATAGAAATGGTTCGCCTTTATGTCACGACAACAAAGAAAGGCAAGCTTCAAGATGATTTCTCTTCTGACGCTCGTTTAATTCATGTGGAACCCATCTATCCAGCTTCTTTACCTTGCTGATTTGTTTCAAATGGTCCAATATTGTTAGAATAGTAACATCAAACCACTGTTCATGAGTAGGTTGAGATGGATTCGCTTCCACTACAGCTTTTACCTCATTATCCACCTTAGTCTCAGGTTACCTACGTAGCTCGCTTTCAAGATTAAAACCACCAGAACAGAACTTCTCAAACCATCGATGTACTGTGCATTCATTAGCCACATCCTTCCCAAACACTTCATTGATATTTCAAGCTGTCTGCGTTGCATAGGTTCCATGACGGAACTCATATTTGAAAATAACACAAATTTTTTACTTATCCCTGGTTTCACAAAAATTGCTCTAAAAAAAAAATTTGAAAGATAATCACAAGCCGAAACGTGCGTTCGAAAGAATGAGGATATACCTTCACGATAAAAAAAAAACTAAAAAAACAAGAAGCATAAAAGTGAAATGTCAGTGATATCAACTGTCAAACTTAGTACTTAAGGAAATTGGACATTCCATACTTAATAACCTAAAAAAATGAAATAGCTATAATCATTGGTATCAACATGGCCTTTAAATATATTTTGTCCTTTTAATATCCTTCTAAAATACACAAATTCGGACCTCATCTCCAGATTTTTTTTTTTAATTCATATCTTGGGTATACTTAAACAGGGTGATATCTTCCATTTGTATGTAGGTGTATATCAATTAATTAATTTCCAATTATATATCAATTAATTAATTTCCAATCTAATTTTATATTTAGTTATTTTTATGAAGTTAATCATTTACTCCCTCAGCGTAAAAAGCAAAATTTAAGATTCTAGACCTTATACTTATTTTAGCAATCCTTTTCAGAACTAAGTTTACTTTGTGAGTTTAGCTAACATACCGTATCAACAAAATAGAGTATAAAACTAAACAGAAAGAAACCCCACTAGACATGATTTGGGAAATAAAGATAAAACTAAATTAGTTTTACATACGATCTCATATTCTAAATGTAAAATATTTACAAGTCTATATATAAAAATTTAAGGAAAAATTTTTAATTTTTAATCAGTCTTTTAAAAGTTTGCCTTTTTGAAAATAAAAATGCATCTTTTCTTACTTTGTTTTTAAAGTATCTTTAGATTAGTTGCCAATACTTAGGATTTCTAGATAAATGAATATTTATCCAAGAAAAAGTGTTTAAAAAAAATAACATGGCATTAATTCTCCACGTTTCACATATTTGAGTAGTAATGAAACAGTCACATTCATACGGGGGAAATCTCAGAGCACAAATTCAAATGTTTTATTTACGTGAATAACTTACCCAATTTAATATCTCCATCTAAAGTAAAAAGAATGTTGCCAGCCTTCAGATCTCTGTGGATGATTTTATTATCATGTAAGTAGTTCAATGCCTCTAAAGTCTGTTTGCAAACTACTTGTATTTGGGACTCAGTTAATGGTCTCTCAAGTTCTATAAAAAGAAAGTAAACAAATCTGCATTTTTATAAAGTGAAAACATATTAGCATGCTATATACCTTTCTGTATATACCATCACTGTCAAAGATCATATACAGTGAAATTATTTTGGAAGAACTAAATATCTACAAAGATTACTTTCCTTACATATTATACTTAACATTTCATTTTAGAATTTTATTACAACCATCCAAGAATATAAAAATATAATTAACTTGATTTCTTAATTTACTGAACGTCACTCAATAATTATATATGTTCGAGTATATACTCATATATGTATGTCTGGAATTCTTCATTTTTATTAAGTATAATTTAAGCTATAAACATAAAGAACAAAAAGGTATTTACCAAGCATCACAGCATCTACTGCTCCACCTGCACAAAATTCAATAAGGATCTGCATGCAAAAAAGAAAAAAAACACATTTACAACTACATTGAATTTCAGTATTTTTCTTCAATTTAGCAAAAAAGATAAAGAAATAGCTATCAAATAATCTAGGTTATGGAAACATTATACTAAACATGAGATTTTCTTTGTCAAAAGAGTTACAACTCTTATGGAAACAATATTATATAAACTAAACGTGAGATTTTCTTTGTCAAAAGAGTTACAAGTCTTAAACGACATGCACTTGAGAAAGCACAAAGAGAGCTCACTGTGGAAGTATTTTTTTTAATGACCATGTGTAGAGTTCCTGCTTCTCTAAAACAACCAGGTACAGAATTTTTATTCAGTACAGTATTATATATCCATTTTTGTCACCACTGAGAGATGTTATTACTTGCATTTTTAAGGTAACTATTGTGACTTAAGTGACCAAATATATTTATTTTTTAACTTTATTAATGAGATAAAAAAATAGACCTTTTGATTTCCAGTCAGTATTCCTTATTACTTACTCTTCTCTCATAACACTTGCCTTCTTCCTTCAAGAAGAAAAACTGAAAATCCATTTTTTTTTATTTTTTTTATTTTTGAGACAGGGTCTCACTCTGTCGCCAGAGCTAGAATGCAGTGTTGTCATCATAGCTCACTGCAAGCTCAAACTCACGAGCTCAAGTGATCCTCCCACCTCAGCCTCCCAGAGTACTAGGATCACAGGCGTGAGCCACCACACCCGGCCTGAAACTCCATTTTAAAAAGCCCTCTGGATTAAACTAGTGTTAGAACAGAGCAAGTGACTAACTGGTTATTATAATGAATATAAACATTTATTTTCTATTAGTGCCTAATTTTTCTAAAAATAAACAAAATTTATACATATACCCTTAGCCATTACATTATGCACTAAAGTTGAACCTGATAATATATGGGATACATATTTAACATTTCTACTATTTTATAGTTGATTACATGATTTAAACAAAGTTTAAGATAAAAAAATTATAAATAATTTCTAGGAAAACAAAGAAAATTTTAAAAAAACTTCTCAATGCTTAAATTTAAATTACAAAGACATGTAATTTCATATTTTAGGAAATTTAATATTCTTAACCAAGTTTCTCCACCTGGATCCAATGTCAGACAATCATGATGAAACTATACAATCTGAAACATAAATCTGAACATCTGTTGAAGCTGAGGATAATGATGTTGGTATGACTTGCTCATCAGCAAATCAACTCTCATTCGAGTAACGTAAGTAACTAAATAGAAGAGGTAAGACATAAAATAGGCTTTCAAAACTCATAAACCTCTTTAGGACAATTAACTCATTTTTGGATACTCCTATAGATCAATAGAAAAAAAGACCTACCCAAAGATTGTTCTCATAATAGAAGGCATCTAGAAGCTTGACTATATTTGGGTGATCACAAGATGCTAATATATCAATCTCAACCATGTAGTCTTCAAGTTCTTCTTCAGATTTGGTATCAATCACCTTTGCAGCAGCTAAAACATTGGTCTCTTTATTCTGGGCCTAAAAATGAAAGGATCAGAAGTATCACATTTAAAGTGCACACTTTTTAAAAATGTATTATAATTTTAATAGATTTTATTTTTTAGATTGGTTTGAGGTTCACAGCAAAATTGAGCAGAAAGAAAAGAGAGTTCCCTTATACTCCATGCCCCGACACATGTATAGCCTTCCCCACTATTAACATTCTGCACCGGAGTGGGACATTTGTTACAATTAATGAACCTACATTAACATATCATTAGCACCCTAAGTCCATTGCTTACCTTAGGGTTCACTCTTGGCATTGTACATCTATGGGTTTCAACAAATGTATGACATGTACCCATCATTATATTAATAACAACATACAGAAAAGTTCACCACTCTAAAAATCCTATGTGCTCAGCCTCCTCACCCCTCCCCCGCCCCAATCTTGAACATGTATCAAGGAACAACAAAAAAAAAATGCTGAACTGTATGGTAAGAGTATGTTTATTGTAGGCCGGGCACAGAGGCTCACGCCTGTAATCCTAGCACTCTGGGAGGCTGAGGCGGGAGGATTGCTTGAGCTCAGGAGTTCGAGACCAGCCTGAGCAAGAGTGAGACCACGTCTCTACTATAAATAGAAAGAAATTAGCCAAACAACTAAAAATAGAAAAAAAAAAAATTAGCCGGGCACAGTGATGCATGCCTGTAGTCCCAGCTACTCGGGAGGCTTAGGCAGGAGGATCGCTTGAGCCCAGGAGTTTGAGGTTGCTGTGAGCTAGGCTGACGCCATGGCACTCTAGCCCAGGCAAGAGAGTGAGACATTGTCTCAAAAAAAAAAAAAAAAAAAAAAAAGAGTATGTTTATTGTAAGAAACTGACAAACTGTCTTTCAAAATGGCTGCACCAGTATGCATGCATGTTCCGTGGTATTTACCCAAACGTGTTGAAAACTTAAGTCTCCACAGAAACCTGCACATGCATGTTTATCACAGCTTTATTCATAATTGCCAAAATCTGGAAACAACCAACATGTCCTTTAGTAGGTGAACGGAGAAACTGTGATACATCCAAACAATGGAATATTATTCAGTGCTAAAAAGAAAGAGCTATTAAGCCATGAAGACACTGAGGAATCTTAAATGCATATTACTAAGAAAGCTAATCTGAAAGGTCTACATACTCTATGATTTCAACTACCCAACATTCTGGAAAAAACAAGACTATGGAGGCAGTAAAAAGATCAGAAGTTTCCAGGGATTAGGGGAAGTAAGGAATCAGATCTTAAAAGCCTAATTAAGTTGTTTTTATAAGACATTTCGATATTACATGTATTATCGTCACTTCAGCAAAATTGTACCTATTACCTTAAAAACTAAACTTTTTTTTTTTTTTTTTTTTTTT